AGCGAATTGTGGAAAGGGTAAGAAAAATCGCAGTCGTAGGCCCGGCTGAATGCGGGGCAGGTGGGAGAAGCTCTGAACATGACAGAAAGAAACAGTTAGCGACGGTTAACAGAGTAGGTGGGTGAGATAGCCGTACCAATACGAACAAGATCCGAGTAGAGGCATATATTGTACGACGCAACCAAAAACTTCAAAGAGGGCTCCAATGCGTTGCGTATTGCGGGCAACTGCCCCAGTGTCCCTCCATCGAACCAAGCTGATGGGATTGCTTAGTCGATACACATTCGCAGTGGCAGATGGACTAATGAAAACCCATAGTCATGAAAATCAAGGTCATAGCACTCCGTATGGAGCTGAATTCTGTTGCCAACTTGCCAGGACCCATTGTCCGTACGACAGTTGAGAGTGGAGAGATCCCACTTTTAGCAGCTCCATCTCATCTAAATTCTCGGACCCGCGGAGCTCGGCTATCCAATGATCGCGCTGGAGCCTTCCTCTGGCGGTCAATGCCTGAGGCGCCACTTTTGCCTAGACTCGATCTCGCCAATTACATTCTATGAATAACGCCTCGGTAGCCAGGTAGAGACGTGCCTGAGGTGTCTGCCATCTATCCCCGAGCGAGATTCGAAGCCAAGAAAGGGGTCTGATGAGCGCCTCAGGCGCCCCTTGAGTCACTTGGGGCGCAGCACTCCCAGCAAATGACTCGTTCCTGCGTCGTTGCCCTGCATCTCAACTTGACTCCTACATTCTCCTGCAGATACTCCGTCCTATAAGCAGTATGCATCATCGAAATCGCCAGTGCGGCAAACTTTCTTACGGATGACATCATGTATCCGGGCGGAACTTCTACGTTCCTTTCTAGGGATACACTAACGGACATGAGACACTGGGATTGATAAGAACGGCGCCAAAGACATATAGATGATAGTCATTGCTAAGCCACAGTCTCGCAGCCACTAGACTAGCCTTTGTCTATATTTAATACTGAACGCCAAATCAACCCGTTGACTTCGCCTCCCCATACGCCGACTCCCGCTGCAATCGCGCCGCTTGGTCCTGCACCGGCCGAGCATCCATGTACGTCCGCATCTCGATCGCGACAAACCCTCCCTTACTCTCGTCATCGCCGTCAGACTGAGAGCCTGCCCTCTCCAGCTCGAGAACGTTAAACTCTCTCACCCGCACCTCGAACTCATCCGGGTCATTACGGAAGACGGTGCCGCTCGTCGCCTCGAACATCACCGTCCGGGTCCCGGTACCGTTCCCCGTATCCGGTCGTGCGATATCCCACGCCTTGTGTACGTCGTGGTGGAAGTACTGGATATGTCGCTGGCGGACGTTCAGGAGGCCGACTACGTCTGTGCCTCTGTTTGGAGGACCGCTGCCGGCGAAGACTCGGGCGTCGGGGTGGATGAAGGGGGAGACGGGGTTTGCGTTTGGATCGAGGGAGTCCAGGGCTGGGAGGAAGTGTTTGAGGAACTGGAGGCCTGGGGGTGCGGTCGAGGGGATTGACTCGTAGGGTCCTTCGTGGGTGTAGACTTGCTGCATGATTGATGTAGGTTGGTCGTAGGGTTGGTCGTAGGGTTTGTCTAGTTACTGACAAGGTGTGTAGATGTGGTGGCTACGGAGTGCCACCACTGTGGCGTTGCAAAGTTGCATCACGGCTCTACGGTAGGTGACCGCAGGAACAAAATAACGTGTTCATGAATTATGGGTACAGGACCCGTATCTGGCTCATATCTACAAAGTTGGCAACGATATACAGTAAGATACATCTGCGAGGCAATGTACGTGATGTGCCAAGGGTATGCTTCCCAAGTCGTGTCCAAATCTTTTCACAGACTGTGCAGTGGACAGTACAATAGATGGTACAAGATGAGGAATTATGGCTGGAAGTGTGCAGGTGCGTATTTGCCGAAATCGTACATGACGGCCAAGCTCGACGGCCAAGATCGACGGCAAAGCTTCATACCAATGGAATCGGCCCGGTGCAGGCGACTGCTTGAAGTCTCAGTCGGGCTCAACCAGTAGTGATGGCTGGCGATCGATACCAAAAATCCAGAATCTGGATGTACTGGAAGAGGACACAGTCCTACCCTGATTGCAAGGTTGAGGCACATTTAGTGCGTATTTTCGAATGGTTGATAACATCAAGTGCAGTGCAGTGTCATGGAGGTTGGGTATGTTCAAAGTGTCGACTGTTTCCGTCGTCTCGAACAAGGCTATCAAGTGAGATTGTATCCCATCCGCGTGTAGAGGTTCGTTGATTGACCGGCGCCGCGTGTGTGACATCGCCAGTGATTTGAGATGGGTCGACAAAGGTGGGATACTCGTCGATGTCGGTGGTACTCGAGACCTGAGGAGCATGGACGAGAGAGACTAGCTTCCTCAGTACACCAAATTCGAGCTTGAGCTTGACACTGTATACCGCCGCCTTGATCGTCACCTGAAGGGTGTAGAGACCGAGATACTCCAAGACCAGAAGAGCCACGTCCATAAGCACCATGACAAGGTTGATCGCAATCAACTCGTACATGATCTTGTTCCGGTCCGGTGCTTTGTCCGGCCGCAGCCGAAGCAACCTGACGGTCTCCACGATATAGATTCCAGAAATGAATATTTCCTGGGCTGCGAACCAGGAAACTTGTATTCGCTCCACAACATTGTATCCTTCGATAACGGGCCGAGTGCCGACGTAGACGGTCAGATAGTTGAGAACGGTCGTTGGAATCAGCAGGACGATGGAGTCAATAATGATAAGGTAAAGCACGCGCCGAAGAAGTTTCTGATTCTGTACCACCAGATGAAGTCGAGAGTACAACACAAACGACTGGCCGGGCACCATGAAATAAAAACCAATAGTGGCAATGGAGATGGCGAGGCCAATGGGCCCAACACGGAAGAACTGCAGCAGGTGACCAACAGCATGGGGAATGACCCCAAGTACGGCCGAAAGTAAAAGACTCCAAAAGTAGAGGCCGCTGTAGCGATGGAACGTAAGGAAAATGAGAATCACGAGTTCAATGGCATTGTAAAGAGCGATCGAGTTGAACACCACCACCAAAATGCGAATGGCCAGACTGCGAATCTCAGGGTTGGCCCCCACACCCTCAGGAAGCTCAGTTATGGAGTTCAACATGGTGAGACGAGAGCCGCGTTCGTAAAGAGCGTTGGAACACACGTTGCTGAGAAGGAGCGACGAGAAAAACGACCCGGCTAAGAATGTCACGGCAAATGAGGCGACGATATCGAGGAAAGGGAAAGGTGTTTCGCCAGAATTTCGGATATCACAAGTTGGTTTACAATCGTCAGGTAGAGCGCCATAGTATTTCCAGAGCCACCCTCTTCAGATCGAATCTCGCAATTGTCCTGTTTGTCATAACCAGGTGGCTGATGGCCTTGTTTCGACGATCACTGCTCGCACTTGCATGTCCTGTGGTGACCGATGCCGGAGAAGACTGCAAGTCGAAGAGAGCCCTCAATTGACCAACCGATCGAACTGCCAGGGAAAGATGCCGCGAAGCCTAGGTTTCCTGGCTATGGGAATGGCTTTCCAAATTGCCGAATAACGGGGATAACGCGGTGGCGGCGGGATCCCCTCCTCCGAAGACCGATGAAGAGCGGATGTAGAACAATAAAGGGACACTGGCTGGTGAGGGAAAGAAAATAAATAAGCACAAGGGAATGAATGGAGAAGTTCAGGAAATGAGAAGGAGAAGGAAGTTAAAGGAACGAACGCATGGGCCGCGTGGGGTCTGGGGTTCGAGAGCCAATTTTTTTCGTGCTTTCTCGCCCTTGAGGCGATTCGATCATTTCCCATCGAGACCCGAAAAGTTATGGGGAAGAATGGGATGGCGGGCTGGCACTAAACCTGATAAGGCATAATGAATGCCTTATCAAGCTAGCCTGAGGCAGCAAAAGCCCACATAGCGAGGTCGGTGAATCGTTGAAGAGAACCCCGAATGGCCCGCTATTAACCTGGCGACTGGAAGATGCGATCGAATGGAAAGTTCGCTTTCATCTGTCATCATCATCGTGCTGTTCGTTGATTTGCCTTCATTGGTATGGTATTCTGGTCGTCGGTTCCATGGTGGCGGGCGCCACAGTTATGGGGTCCAGATATTGTGGCCTTTGCGCAATCCACGGTTCCAGTCATTTTGCTGTGGAAACGCGGTTGTTGATTGATCAAAAGGCAGCAGCAAAGTTTTGAACCACGTTCAGAAGTGCCTCAAAAATGTCGACAGAATTAGACGCTTCCCATTCGCCGGAGATGTCGAGAGCAAGACTGCTGCCATTAACGTGGCCTCTCAGGAAGTGGCTCGAGTCAGGTGACCTGCGAGGAGATACACATACGGATCTGTTTTGTGGGTGACCTGTTTGGGAAAGTGGTTGTCTGATGCCGCCTTGACTTTGTGATTGGCAGCCTCAGAATCTAAAACAGGTACTCCACTTGGTAAAGTGTCCACTTTTCTCGGGTTCTTTGCCTAGTTCGGTGACGGTGACCCCGTACCAACAGTCTGTCGGCCCCGAAGCATAGGTATCTAGATAAATGTTGATACTAAACGGCATCGCGGTTAGTTGGGAAGTGTAAGCGATGCATTTTCTTATTACGATTCGTTTTCTATTATGACCGGTGAGACAATTATGATCCTTGATTCACGTCAGAAGCACCATGTATCTACGGCTACCCAGCTCGCAAGATCTTCCCTTGATTGCAGACGTGGCTGCACAAGCTATGCTTGAAGATGAGCTTTTCGCATACCTCGGCCTCGGGCGGAAAGAGTATCATGCCGACTATCGCTAGAGCTTCCTGCGCAGATTGCGCTCCAAATTTCTGTCTCCGGGCTGGCTGACCATCGTTGCCGTCGAGGATGTCCTACTGGTCGCGGATTGGGCCGAGCTCTCACCATTAATTATGGCATACGCTTCCTGGGGACGCATTGAGGCGCAAGCGGAGAAGACTAGGAGGCAATGGAAGAAAGCGATCGGAGTGGAATGCAATGGCAAACAATGCAAGTCTTCCAAATTTAACTTTCAGCGCGTTAGGGTATCTCTGTACAGATCACGCTTCCAAAGAAGTCATCCTCGCTGCTGGCGCACTTGGTACCCCGAAGATCTTGATGCATTCTGGAATCGGCCCTGCCGGTCAACTTGAAAATTTCCAGATATCAGTTGTCGAGCACCTTCCATCAGGGGGTCAAGGTCTTGAAGATCATCTTTATGTTCCTCTCTGCTTCCAACGGAAGCCAGAAACGAATGATCGAAATGCCTTCTTCGGCGACAATGCCGCCATGGACCGAGTCATGGCGCAGTGGATGAAGGACGGGACCGGGCCATGGACACGCTACTCGTGTCAGGTCGCAGCTGGCTTCTTCAAATCAGACAATCTCCTCGCGTCGGCAGAATTTCAAGCGCTTCCGCCATCTGTTCAAGACTTTCTGAAGCGGGAGACGATGCCACACTACGAGTTCTTGACTCATTTCTCTATGCACTTCGTCTTTCTTGGGGTTGTTAAAGACTCCAGCTATGTCTGCCTGGGATTGTTTCTCCTGAACGAACAATCCAGCGGCGAAGTCCGCCTCCAGTCGTCGAACCCAGACGACCCGCCGTTTTTTGATCCCAAGTACCGTTCCCATCCCTTTGATCGCCGCGCTTGTATCGAGATTCTTCGTGACGCACTCCAAGTGACCAAGCACGAGTCATTCCTGAAGGACACCGTGGCCCCAATGGTTGTGCCGGCTTCCGAATCCGACGATGACCTTGTCGAGTTCTGGAAGAACAACCTCAGTTCAGTCTGGCACATGTCGGGGACACTCAAGATGGGCAAACCTGGTGACCCAGGCGCGGCAGTGGACAGCCGATTCCGCGTGTTCGGCATCGAGAATTTGCGCGTGGCGGACATGAGCGTTGTGCCAGTTCCGCTGAACACCCACTTGCAGGTTCCCGCGTACATGATCGGTATGACTTGCGCAGAGGTGTTGATCGAGGAATATGATCTTAATAGTGTAAAGTAGTAGTTTCATAGAGGCGGGTGTATACCTGCTTGATAATAGACACTAGATAGTATTTGTCTAATTCATAACTTTGATAGTAACTCAATACATGCCTGACCGTGTGTTACCTGTATAGGGAATCATAACGCTAAATTCAACCACTTAAGATGCCAATCAATTAGTTCTGCTTATCAGCAGCCATGGCCTCCACATCCACTGAACGAGGCGTTGCCGTGCCTGGCTTGCGCATCCCAGTGAGGGTAACCATCTCGCCACTCAAGAGGTACATGTACCAGTAGTATGTGCCTGGTTCGGTCAGCCGCTGTCCCTCAACTTGCAAGAGGTGCACTTACCAACAAACAATCCGCCTCCAATAATATTCCCCAGCAGCGTCGGAATGATCCCCTTCCAGATGTACAGCCCCACCGTGATCTTGGGCGCATCCAGCCAGATCGCCATCGGGATGAAGGTCATATTGGCGACGACGTGGTCAAAGCCTAGCGAGACGAAGGCAAAGGTCGGGAACCAGATACCTACCAGCTTAGAGGCGAGATCCCGGCCCTGTACACCCAGGAAGCAAGCCAGACAGACAAGCCAGTTGCAGCCGATACCGCGGAGGAAGATATGGTGGAAGTCCGGGGTGAGTTGTTTCTTAGTGGCGAAGGCGATGACTTCGGATTTGTAGGGGTCGGCAGCGAAGATGTTGCCATCTTGAGAAAGATGTCAGACCTGGATAGATGTCAAGGGATTGAGATGCATGCTTACAGCCGAAGATGATGGCGACGACGAAGAGGGATCCAGCTAGGTTGCCCCAGAAGGTCACGAACCAGTGGAGCAGCATCTTGTACCAGGGCAGTTTGCGTTGGAGTGCGGCAACAGTGGTGAACTACACAGGTTAGGCATATTTGCAGAGTAGCAGTCTGAAAAGCATACCATGAAAGAACCAGTGCAGAGGTCCGCTCCTGTTAAGACGATCATACACAAGCCATAAGGGAAGACAAGGGCGGATATCGTGCGAATCAAGCCGGGCGCATTTTCCTGAAACCATGCCGTTGTATTGGTACTCAGGACCGTCCCACAGGCAAATGCAAGCAGACAACCGGCAGAAAAGGCACTGAAGAAGACCTTGTCGAGGCGCATATTGCCCTTGCTTACTCCAGCAACGGCCACGAACTGGGCCACATCGGCTGGAGCGTGGGCGTCAATGCTGACTGTCGTCATGATGGTAAGGGGCCTTGGGTTAAGGGTATGCTAATTGTGTTGGCCGCTTCTGAATCACAGCTAGCTTAGATTTCTAGTTTGTTTGACTTGACGAACAAAACAAGGAGAGGGATGATTCATATATTCTCTACGGGATACACGGCCCCGGAATCAATCGGACGCCATGGCCCATGCCCTGTTCCTTATCTCAGATCTGCACCGGAATATTGGGTCTGGAAGTGAATCATCAGGTCTTCTAATGGGTACGTACAGTGATGATAGTATGCCTAAGCGGCACAATAAAGTTCCTCCACCCGACGCACCTACCCAAGCCAGCCGTGATCCACGATCCACATTTTGAGATTTCTGGGAAAGTTGTGGAATAAGATCAGCCCTTGACTGACCGAATACCCCATCATTTCCCCCTTGGGATGATAAGAAGAAGTATGGTTTACTGCATTCGGCAATTGGAGCAATGAGTTAGGGCAGCCGCTCCGATTAGGTTTATGCCCACCGCACCAATGGTCTTGCTCCGTCTTATCTGCTAAGGAGAGATAAGAGAAGACCGTGTGCTGTTGTGTTTCTCCGCGGACTCAAATTGTGGCCATGATAAGGTAAAGGTAGGAGCTGATAGTGATCGACCAGCGAACCTCTTATGACTCGAACTCGAACCCTTCACTGAATTTTGGCAAATCTTAACTCGGCCCCGTCCCGGATCTGCAGTCGACCTTATCTATAGCTTTCAAGCCAATAGCTTTGCTCCTGGAGGGCTATTTCTCAAACTTGAGTTCTCGCATGGACAGCCACAATGTCGGGTCGCAATCGACAAGTCTGTGTACTTTATACCCTTCAATCTAACGACCAAATGAATACTAAAACACAATGGAGCTGCAATAACGCCAGGCTGGTTTGTAGCCACCGAAGGCGTCTGAACTACCATCCTAACTTAGTCGCAATAGTAGTCTAATAATATGTTCGACAGGGGGTACCTCGTACCGGCACGGCGCTGGAGAAGGAGCATCAAGCAGCTACGTAGTTATTGACTGCTGCACGGCCTGTGCTCAACCCCCGCGGTTTTACCGGCTAAACTACGGAGTACTACGAGTAGTTCCTAGGCGTAGGAACTACAGCGACAACCCCAGCACGAGACTCCCTGATGCTCTGATATCCCCAGACCAGACAGCGACAAGAGAGCAAAATACTTTCACTCGAGCAGTAATGGCCTCTATGCACCGGTGTTCTTCGCCCTCGCGTAGACGAGGCCGCTGATGAACCCAAGCACAATGGCAGATACGCTCCCGAATGTGACGGGAGCCGCGAAGAAGACGATGCCTGCAACAGCCAGGGGAAGCTTGTTCAGAGCGCCCACCATGGCGTAGGTGGTAGACGACGTGGCTCGAATGCACCAGGCCGTGCAGTACGAGATGAAGACGGCGGCCACGCCAGAGTAGAGGATTCCGATAAACAAGCTTTGTCGCGACTCGGCAGGGAAGTTCCTCTGTAGATTTTCGGAAGACCAGTCTTCGGCGAGCACGGAAGCAAGCAGCAAAATGGGGATGCTGAGCAGATTGTTGTAGAACATGACTAAATCAGCGCGCCGTCAGTGACGATGCTTCGCCTACTAGCCCAATACACGCACCGTCCCAGTTGTCAAAATTCGTCTTCTTGATTACCCTGCGCATGCCCAGTGCGTACGAGGCAGAGAAGATTACGTTCGTCCCCATCCAAGCGTAACCGGCGTTGAGAGCCGACAGAGCCGCGGCTCTCGAGTCAGAGCTGGCCCCTACCGTAGCGGTTGTCGCGTTCCGGACGTCGGCCCAGGCTGCCACGACGGAGCTGAGCACCATCAAGCCGAAAGACAGCAGGGCGAGAGGCTTCACGCCGCCTCCGACCATGAAAACTTCGGCGTACGCAATGACGATGATTGTCAAGTTCTTGAAGATGGTATAAACGGGAACGGAGAGGAATTGCAGCGCTTTGTTGCCAGTATAGATCATTCCGACCAGCAGCAGGGAAATCGGCAGCCCTGCGATTGAGTTTAGTTGGCGTTTGCATGCGACGGGCCCTAAGCGGAAGCCTCCTACACGTTTGGGCCTTCTTCAAATCAAATAGGGCGAGGTTCTGGATGAGTCCTGTCTTCTTGCAGGCCAATATCGCCACGGTGCCAATGAAAGACTTGTCAGGTTAGGGTTCATCTTGTTCGAGAGATGCCGAATAAAAAGAACAGGAAAGAAAAACCCACCTGCATGGCGAGATAGAGAAAGCTCAAATTCCAGCTGGCGCCAGAAACGACGTACTTGTTCACCAGGGTCATGCTGATGGAGGACAGGCAGTAGGCGAGCACAGCAGCACTGGCATTATTTCCAATAGTCGAGGCAAAGCTCGACACGGATCCAGAGATGTCACCATCACGCTGTGACCGACGCTCGTAGACGGGAAGCAATTCGTCCTTGCTGACGCCGTTTCGCGCACTCGCCATGGCGTGTGCAGGGGAGGGACAAAGTCGTCAGCCGGTCGCAAGGTCACTGCGAAATGGGGATAGCGAGGAGGAGGCGGGATAAAATGTCGGACAGGGTAAGAAAGGACGAAGGGAGATGCAAAAAGTGAATTGAATCTGACAATGATTTCACAATTCATGCAGGGGCGGATGGAGATCAAGCTGACCTACGGCCCATGCAGAGTTGGCTAACCGATTTAGGCTTCTAGATAGTCAGCTCGACGTTCAGAGAGTTAACTACATATACTAGTAACAGATCTTGGTTGGGAGGATTCGAAATTGTTGTTGTCAGAAGAATGTCTTACCTATTCTTAGAAATGTACCATTACGGGTAATCTACACTCGGCCCCATAAGTTTCTGTGCCGCAATGTGTCTCACACACGCACGCCTCTACAAGAAATTGGCCCTAATAAGGGTGTGGAGATGAGCTAAGACCATATTATCGCGGAATTATTAAAGGTTTTGAATGTTAGGGGGCATGGATCTTGTCATATCAGTCAAACCCTTGAAATTCCGCGATCCACAGTCTAGTATACCCTCTAGAATCCCCTTTGTGAGCAAGGGTTGCGCCTTGCTCACTCTGGCTGGCCTACTAGGCTATCTAGCAGAGATACACAATTAAGCGTGATTCATACCAATCTATTTATATCTTATAAAGATATCCGTGAAAAGACAGGAGTGAATGTGTTAATAGCACCATCCTCCATTGACCGGGTACCTGCAGCGGCCAGCAGCTTACGAGTAATAAGATTACCCTACAGGAAACGCATACGGGAACATTAAATATCGTGCTATTACCAATCGATAATCCCACATGCACATAAGCCCATTATAACCATAACTCGTAGACATCTAGTAGATATACCGGAAATGCAAGTTCTCCTGGTCCGTGCGGTCCTCAAAGGCATGGGCGAGATTGTTCTCCGCGGACAAGCCACTCTCCGCCAGCACGCGGGCCTTCCTCTTGTTCTGGAGGACGAGCCAGAAGCGCAGGAAGATGATGGCGATGGTCAGGCAGACGTAGCAGCCCAGGTGGACGCCGAAGGCGATGAAGTAGCGGGGGGCGTCTCTGTCGAGGAAGACTTGGGGGCCTGGATGTTTCGTTAGTTTGGTCTACCTTTTTTTGTAAGGTAGGAGGTTGGGTTAGGTGGCTTACCGATGGAGTTGCCGACGGCCCAGGAGACAAAGGTGGCTGCTACGACGGTGGATTTCTTGGTGGCGCCGGCGATGTTGCGGGAGATCATGGAGAGACAGAGGGTCTGGGCGGACCAGAAGGAGAGGGTGATGTAGTAGCTGATCAGGAGGCCGACCTTGGTGCCCATGTTCTTGTTCTCGACAGTCATGAGGACGATGGTTCCGACGTAGGATCTAGGCCATGGTGTCAACGGACGGTACGCCAGGAGGGCATTGAACTAGACTTACGGAATGACAAAGGCCAGCATGACAAGCAGGTTCTGTCCGGTCTTCTTGACCAGCCAGGCGGAGCTCAGCAGGACGATAATGATATAAAAGCCCAGCACCATGGCGAGCAGCTGCGTCTGCAGCACGGAGAACTTGAAGCCGCTGATGATGATGTTGGCGAACGCACCCAGACCGCTGGTCGGCAGGGTGGTGAAGATCTGGATGGCGCAGTAGCAGTACATCTGGGGGTCGCGGAAGGCCTCCCACATCTGGTAGGCGCGGAACTTCTTGTTCTGCATACCGGTCTGGTTGGCACGGACTCGCTCGACCATCAGGTGCTTGTCCTCCTCGTTGAAGCACTTGGCGCGCATGGGCGAGTCGGGCATCCAGAAGATGACGAAAAGACCCCACAGCACGGAGATGACGCCGTAGGTGATGAACAGGGCCTGCCAGGAGTGGATGGCCTTGTCCTTGCCGATTAGGCTGAAGCAGTATGCGAGCAGACCGCCGACGATCTGTTGACCACCGTTCATCATGTACCTGATGATTGTGAGCAGTATTCATGGTAAAGTTGCGTGGTCGACCTACCAGTAGGTCACGGTCGCCGCCTGCTCCTCTCTCTTGTACCACATACTGGACAGCAAGACGAAGGTCGGCTGGCAGCAGGCCTCAAAAATACCCAGCAGTGTACGCAAGACGACCATGTGCGTGAAGCTCGTGCAAGCAGCATGCAGAGCCAGCACGGTACCCCAGAGACAAATGTTGATGCCCAGGTACTTGGCAATAGGGACACGTTGGATAATCCAGTTGGTCGGGTATTCGACAATCAAGACGGCGATGTAGATACAGGTCGTCAACCAGGAGTACTAGAGTGACCGCCATTAGCGCCTGTTTCCGTCATATAAGGTAGCCAGCGAGAAGAAAGAGGGGCAGGCACCTTCTGGCCATTCTGCAGATGCAGATCGGTACGGATGCCCATGATAGAGGCAAAAGACAAGGTACCCTTATCCAGAGCCTGGAGAAAGTACGTGAATATCATGATTATGAGCACACGGCGATCGATCATGCGTCTCAAACGCTTGCTGGTAGCTTCGTCGACATCGACCTGTCCGCGAGCCACATACTCCTGGAGATCCTTGTCCATCCGCGAGAAGTCGGCCTCATCCTTGGTAAGCCCGTCAGACAACACTCGTTCGACATGGTCGATGTCCTTGGGCTGCTTCTGGTCATCTCCAGCTCCTGGTGAGCTGGAAGCCACCGGGCTCGAGACAATTTTTTCTGCCATGACGGTGGAATCAAGCTTATGGAATGTGACAGTCGAAGAAGAAACGAAAGCTTGTAAGCGGTTCCAACAGAAACACAGCAGCACAGGGGKAGGTCCGACCGAGACGAAAGACAACGGGGAGCTCTGGACTTTTTATCGAGAAAAAGCAGCCAGGCTTGTCGAGTCTCAGACAGACAGCCAATTCGAGTGATCATTACCCCGGTCGCAATGGAAATCGACTGTGCGCATGCTTTCCTGGCTGGCTTGACTCTCTTCCCCGGCTTTCTTGGCAACGCCTCCCCATGGGACAAATGACTGGAGATACCTGGATCTGAGAGGTGGGCGGGGTGGAATGGCCCGAGAGCACTGGCATGGTCAACCACTCAACAGCTCCTGTGCGTAACCGCTTTGGACACGGCCAATCACTTCGCTTCTCGATGGGAATTGGCTCCCGCTTGGCGTTGGGTTTCGGTGTGTCGATGGCCCGAAGGCTGCTGTGTCCCACGCGGAGAAATCCCCCCATTTCTTCCGCGTATCACCAGTGGCCGGTTCCACCCCGCATGATTTATAGCCAGATGCAGCGAGTCAGCCATTATTATTCTAGGGAAGGTGAAATAAAGAAAGACCGCTTGCTCATTGACCACTGCTGCATAAACAAATAAACGAGAATGACGTCCAACAGACCCTCGCAGACCGAGGTCCATCAGACCGTCAAGCAGCTCATCACCAACCTGGTCAACATCAAAGACGCCACAGGAAAGTTCCTGCTGCGGCTACAGGATGGTCGGGTCATTGACACCAAATCCTGGCACGGGTGGGAGTGGACGCATGGTATCGGGCTGTACGGCATCTGGAAGTACTATGAGATGACGGGCGATGAGTCCCTCCTGCGCATCATTGAAGATTGGTTTGCGGCGCGGTTCGCTGAGGGCGGCACCACCAAGAACATCAACACTATGGCTGTCTTCCTGACGCTGGCCTACGTCTACGAGAAGACGGGCAACGTGACCTACCTGCCCTGGTTGGATGCCTGGGCCGAATGGGCCATGTACGAGTTGCCTCGCACGCGGTACGGCGGCATGCAGCACGCGACCTACCTGACCGAGAACTACCAGCAGCTGTGGGACGACACGCTGATGATGACCGTCCTGCCGCTGGCCAAGATCGGCAAGCTCCTGAACCGTCCCGAGTACATTGCCGAGGCCAAGCGGCAGTTTCTCGTTCACATCAAGTACCTCTTCGACACCCAAACGGGACTCTGGTTCCACGGTTGGACCTTCGAGGAGGGAGGGCACAACTTTGCGCGCGCACGCTGGGCCCGCGGCAACAGCTGGGTCACCATCGTCATCCCCGAGATTATCGAGCTGCTCGACCTCGAGCCGACGGATCCGATCCGCATCCACCTCATCGATACGCTCGAGGCCCAGTGCGAGGCCCTGCAGCGGCTCCAGGAGAGCGAGACCGGCTTCTGGCATACCCTCCTCGACCATCCGGACTCGTACGTCGAAGCGTCTGCAACCGCCGGGTTTGCGTACGGCATCTTGAAAGCCGTCCGCAAGCGATACATCGGCGGGCAGTATCGTCCCGTCGCGGAGAAAGCGATTGCAGCAGTGATGAGCGCGGTGGACGAGCATGGCGAGCTCCAGAATACCAGCTTCGGCACGGGAATGGGTGATTGCTTGCAGTTCTACAAGGACATTCCGCTGACGGCAATGCCATACGGGCAAGCGATGGCAATTATGGCGTTGGGAGAATACCTGCGGACATGTTTATAAGTTCAGTTCGTTTTGTTATCTTATGATGAGCCACATTGATAGATTGGTTGCCGGAGTTGGCTTGCTATATAGTTCTCTACGGAGAAATGCATGTGTCAGTCGCATGATTTGGTAAAAGAGGAAACATCTTGAGAATTTCGTTCACCGTGATAGGTAGAGGATTCCTTGACTGAGCGCAGTTCCTCATCGATGGAGACATCATACGGGCAGTTGCAGGTGCAGATTCTCTGCCGGTCGATCGTAAAGACCAATTGACTGGAAATACCACGGTTTTATCGAGTCACTGTCCATGAGAGCGAAGGCATGTATATTAAAGCTGAGCTCAGGTGGTGGCACTGGGATCAGCCAGCGGGGCAGGACAAGATTCCGAATAGCTTCAGGAACAACGGAAATGGTAAGACGAACTATGCAACCCCAGAACAGTTCAACTGATCGAACGATTGGTATAGGATTGAGATCTTGCAGACTCATTCAGCGACCAAAAGGTGTCGGAACAACTCCACTCGATATGTCGGAGCCTGTAGCGGCACCCAAAGAAGCAGATGACTACTGCATCAGTTGGACAGTGACATTCACCTCACAAAGATGCGAACAAGCAGACTTTTCGACTCGGCGAAAAATGAAACGGACTTGGTCATCACTAAGCTCAGGATCTTTTCCCACCACCCACGGTGGTTGCGCCATGAATGCTTGATGGCAAACATGGCCGCCAGGCATGAGAGAAAGGGTATCGAAGAGTCAATTCCTTTCATGACACATAATAGTCGACAAAGATTTGTTTGCATCTACTCCGGCCAATCTTACTGCTAGACGTGGCATTGTCGGTCATCTGCACTGAGGAGCCACCACCTACCTGAAGTTTTCAGTCAGTGTCTGAGAGATGTGTGGAGGAAGCTAATTTAGGATCGGATTTAAAGCATGTCAAAGGATATCTGAGTTTGTCCGCTGTCAACGAGTCTTTGTGTGCTTTGCGCAATGGTTTTCTTTGTTCCATCGAATGCCGCCAGGTTGTCAATACGCGGATCCTATTGTTGATTGAGCTGAATAGGAAAGAGAATTATGACATCCAATCGAACGCAAGTGGTTTGATTGAATGATGCCAGGCAGTCGACAATAGTTGCTTCCATTCTTGAATATAGACGGGAGAGGCTTTGCAACGGCAGCATAAATAGCATCCCCTCGAATACTCCTGGCTTGACACATTCTCTCTGCCTGCTCCTGAGATCATTCAATATTTAAACAACATGACGGATCAGCTGAAGAGAAGGCGCGCAGCGGTTAGTGGGCCGACAGGATCAGACAGGAAGAAACCCCGGCGTACAAAGCCCCAAAACAGTGACTCGGACGAGCCCATTGTGGTAAGTACCTCTACCAATAACACCTCCGAATCATTCTGACATGACAGCAGCTCGACCAGATCCCCAGTCACCCGCCATCTCCAGCTCTGCCGAGATCGACCCGTGCCGCCGCTCCAGCCCCGGCTGCTCGCCGCGCCGCTCCCCCACTGATCTCCACCGGATACCCGCCCTGTCTTCGGTGCGTCAAGAAATGGACCGAGGACGACTCGACCATGTGCCACCGCGACTCTGCCCTCGGCAAGTGTCGTTCGTGCAGCCGAGCTGGCGCGAAATGCAGCGCGCTTCCGGATAACCTTTACGGTCCGCTCTCCGCGGCGCAGAAACTCACTGGTCATGCGCGACGGAGAGCATGCGCTGGGATCAAGAATGCTCTGGAGGCGTATGAGCGCAAGAATGAAGAGGAAACACCTACCAAGGAAAATGCTGGATCTGGATCGTCGGCACAGGAGAGGGGCGAGATGTTGAAGGCGATTCGGTCGTTGAATAAGAATGTGTTTCGGTTGATGAATACCATTCGGGAAGTTCGTGGGATGGAGCTCATCTCTGACGATGAGATTTGATTTGAATCCAGAGTTGTGGAGATGTTGTCAGGCCATCAATTATTTACGTAACGTGTCATTATCGTCGGTGTCGATTCGATTCGATTCTATGGCGGCAGTTGGCCCATCGAGCATCGTCATTGGCTTCAAGATCTAAAGCGCTGCCGCTTACGCATCATCAGTGTCGTATTGGACCCCAAGTTGATTATAAATCACCTCGCTACAACAACTATAAAACTGTACACCAGGTCAGACAATAGTCAACTTATGCCAATCAACAAAATTTAAGAACGGCCATGACGCTCAAATATCTCATCACCGGAGCCACGGGCGGCCTCGGCAAAGAGGTCCTCGCCTACTTCGAAGCCAACCGTCCCTCATCAGAATACGCGGCCGCCTCGTCGCGCGAGTCGAATCGAAAACAATTCGAAGATCGAGGAATTGCATTTCGCCATGTAGACTACGATGACCCGCGCACGCTGGACGCAGCCTTTCAGGGCGTCGAGAACCTCTTCTTTGTTAGTACCAATGTCTTCGACAATGCGAGACGTATCAAGCAGCATCAGAACTTCGTGGAGGCTGCTAAGAGAGCGGGCGTCAAGCATGTACGTGTCTTTGCAATTACGTATAGAAGATACCGTCGCTTACTGACTAGATAGGTGTGGTATACATCGCTCGCATTCGGGGGATTGAAATCCGATTCCAAAGCGGCCATTCAGCAGGCCCATCTGCAGACGGAAGATTTACTCAGAGAGTAGGTTCTCTTTCTTCAGAATGTACCAGAATGTGCAGTACACTGATGATCATCCAGGTCGGGAATCACGTTCACCTCCATCCGCGAGGGAGTCTACGCCGATGCATTCCCGCTGTTCATGAACTGGTATCCCGATACCACCACCGTGTCCCTCCCCGCAGACGGTCGCTGCGCTTTCACTCTGCGCAAGGAGCTCGGGGAAGCAAACGCCCGATTAATGCTCCAGGGTGGTCACGAGAACGAGATCGTCCTCCTGGCAGCAGGGGAGACCATCACTTTTGCCGAGGCAGTGGATGTGATTAACGAGACGACGGGACGGAATGTCCGATTCCAGGTCGTCTCTCCAGAGGAGTACGTGCGCTTGAGCGCAGCAAACGACCAGGGTGGCAAGCCCGCCGAGTTCTTCCAGGCGCTCGTGAGCTGGTACGACAGTATTGCGCAAGGGGAAATCAGCCACACCGATCCGTTGATGAAGGAGGTGCTGGGACGGGAGCCCACCACGCCGCGGGAGGCGATTCGAGAGTTTTTGTTGGAGAACCGGGATTATACCTGGCATCAGAATTATGTCCAAAAGTAATAAGTATTACACATGACTCGCTTACTTGAGATCGAGGGTCAGTCTCCTCGCGCATCTCCGCGTCCGCATCGGAGGTCTCCGCTCATCGCCATGATGGATGGAGGGGTAGAGAGGAATAAGATATATACACTCAATATGCTGTCTAGTCACCTTCAAGTTCAGTAACTGACAGTTGTCTCGATATGCTCTACACACACGCAACCATCATCACCGTAGACCCCTCCCGACGAATTATCGAGGATGGGGCCATCCACGTCGTGGACGAGCTAATCGCCGACTTGGGCAAGACGGACATCCTCCGAGCCAAGTATCCCACTGAAGAGGAGTACGACCTGAGCGGCCGCATCGTCATCCCCGGCCTCGTCTCCACACATATGCATACAGCCCAGACGCTGCTCCGGGGCACAGCTGATGACCTGGAATTGGTGTCGTGGCTCTGCGAGCGGATCTGGGTGCTGCAGGGGAACTTCACGGCGGAAGACGGCTATGCCGCGGCGCGGTTGAGTATCGGGGAGATGTTGAAGTCGGGGACGACGTGTTTCTTGGAGAGCATGGTAAGCCCTCGGCTCCGTCTCGGGTGGTGATGATTGTAACTCACAACTGAGGGAGTTCGCCGATCGGTACGGATTCGATGGCCTATGTCGGGCCGTCGAGGAGAGTGGGATCCGCGGTTGCCTCGGCAAAATCGTCATGGATATCGCGCGGTATGCGCAAGACGATGCATGGGCGATGCACCCCGGCCTCGTGGAAGACCGGCAGACATCTCTACTGGGCACGCTGCAGATGTGGGAGAAGTGGAACGGCAAGGCAAATGACCGCATCCGCGTGTGGTTTGGCGCGCGTACACCGGGAGGGTAAGTCTCGCACCTCTCAACTCTAACCCTCGACCTGAGTCTCGTCCCGCTGACGGTTTGAGCAGTGTGTCTGACAGTCTGTACCGCGAGATGACCGCCCTGTCCCGGCAGAAGAACATCCCCATCACGATGCACTGCGCCGAAGTCCGCGCTGACCGCGACTTCTTCGCCTCGGTCAAGCACACCCCCATGTCCTACTGCGCCTCCGTCGGCCTGCTCTCCCCGTCCACCGTCTTGGTGCACATGGTCCACCTGGATGACGCGGACATTGCCACGCTGGCCGCGTCCGGCACCCACGTCGCGCACTGCCCGACCTCCAACGCCAAGCTGGCGTCGGGGATCTGCCGCGTGCCAGACCTGCAACAGGCGGGCGTCAATATCGGCCTCGGCACGGACGGTGCCCCCTGCAACAACACGTGCGATCTCCTGCAGGAGATGAAACTGGCGGGTATCATCCACAAGAGCGTCTCGTACGATCCGACGGCGGTGCCGGCGGAGACCGTGCTGGAGATGGCGACCATCAACGGCGCGCGCGCGCTGGGCCTCGACGACCGCATCGGCAGCCTGGAGGTGGGTAAAAAGGCGGATTTTGTGGCGATTGATACGCGGAGGATTCACCTCCAGCCGTGGTTTAACCCCGTCAGCGCGGTGGTCTACACGGCGACGGGCAGGGATGTCGATGTCGTGGTCGTGGATGGGCGGATGCTGGTTCGGAACGGGGAGCTGTTGACTATGGACGAGGCAGAGGTCGTGCGCGAGGCACAGAAACGTAGTCGGGAGGTGGTGGCTCGGGCTGGCTTGACGGAGCGTCTGCAGCCTCGCTGGCCGGTGGAGTAGTTGCATTTATGAGAGATCTATGGACATGATTATGTTGAATTACGAATGATATGATGTGATTTGTAAGCTATGGCTAAAGACCTGGCTTCACCCACAGGGTCTGCGAGTTACAATACGCCGTCAACCCGTTTAGTCCCCATTCGGTGCCAATCCCGCTGGACTTGTGTCCCCCGAACGGCGCCTTGGGTGACACGTCAAAGTGCGAGTTGATCCACACGCTCCCCGACTCGAGCTGATCGGCTATCCGTCGAGCGCGGGCCATATCCTTGCTCCAGACCGATGCGCCGAGCCCCATCTCGGTGGCATTCGCCCGCGCAATGACATCGTCCTCATCCGACCACTTGAGCATCGGCAGGATCGGCGCAAACGGCTCTTCCTGGACGACCCGGGCCGACTCGGGCGGGTTATCAACGATGATCGGGGGGACGAAGTAGCCTGCTGAGTCCTGGATGGTTCCGCCAAGGGCGGTGGTGAGACCTTCTGCGGACAAGCTCTCGACGAGATCTTTGGCCTTGCCGTACTGCATGTCGTTCTGCACAGGGCCGAAGAAAACGTCGGGTTCAGTGCCGTCGCCGACCTTCAGCGATGCCACAAACGCCACGAGCTTCTCTCGGAACTCGTCGTATATCTTCTCGTGCACGTACAACCGCTTGACCATCATGCAGATCTGGCTCGAGCAGAGGAAGGAGAGGATACCGATCTGCAACGTCAGTAGCTCGTAACATTTTGAAACAGAGGCAAAATACCTTTGGAATGACCGCATCAATATTGACATCGTCGCAGACAATGGCCGGGTCGTTCCCACCCAGCTCCAGCGTCACCCGCTTCAGGGTCTTCGCGCAACTCGCCATCACGCGCTTCCCCGTGAGCGTTGAGCCGGTGAAACTGATCTTGTCGATACCCGGGTGCTCCGTGATCATAGGCCCCAGGTCATCGCCCCCACTCAACGCCTGGACCACACCGGGCGGGAAGCACTGCGCCGCCAGCTCGGCGAGCTTCAGGCCGCAGTACGGCGTAAACGGGGAGGGCTTAACGATCACGGTGTTCCCCGTGTACACGGCAGGGACGATCTTGCCGACGGCCAGCAGGACAGGGAAGTTCCACGGCACAATGGCCCCGCAGACGCCGAGGGGCGTGTACCGCTGGATGATGGTGTGTTCGTCCGTGTCTTCAATGACCGTTTCGGGGATCTCAATTGTGGGGAGGGTTCGAGTCCACTGCACGGCCATTCTGACCTCGACGGTGGACTGGCTGAGCGGCTTTCCTTGTTCCTGCGTCATGAGCCGAGCCAGTGCGTCCTTGTTTGCTTCGATCTTGTCTGCGAAGGTGTTGAGGGCGGTCCGGCGCTCGTCGACCGAAGTCTTGGACCACGTTCGGAACGCTTTGCGAGCGGCATCAACGGCTCGATCGAGGTCTTCTTGTGTCGAAACGGGGACCTCAGGGTTGGGTTGTCTGTTCGCAGGGTTGATGCCATGACGGGTTTGCGCGGTGGTCGTCAACTCATTGTTGATGACATTGTGGAACGTCTGGACTTGTTAGGACAGTCGCCGAGGGGTGGGAATAAATACCGTAAAGTCGAAAGACATGATGATGGATTGATGCGTTGAAGGAGGGGTAGAATAGATTAGAAGAGCGGTACTATTCACTGGCAGGAAGATGAGCCTTAAGTATATGGCTCAGCAAGATCTGTCCCCTCATTCAGTCCTTGTCTTAGACCGTCATCATCATGCAACGAGTTCCCAGACTGGTTAGTATTAGGCATTCCTTTGGTGCTACTCTCAGCCACCGTGACACCGACGCTGGTAGTCAGCGATAGTGTCGCGATCTTTGGTGTGTGGACCTGCGATACTGTGCGGGGAAATCCAATCGGTGTTGAGGCCGGCAATCGACCAGCTACGGAAGTCAATGACGGGAGTTATTCTCCCTCGAAGCCTTTTGAAGTGCTTGTTCTCAGAATTACAATTGTGTTGTATTGAACGGGATGAGGAGGCTGAGCTGCAAAAAAGCAGTTGTGTGCTGCCTCGGCTTGCGGACATGATCGATGGTGGGGCAATATAGGCCACCAATTCTGACTCGAGGGGTTTCTCTTCTCTCCAATATGTGCTGTGTTCTGAAAATCAGTCGGTCTTACGAAAAGGTTCAGGATTTCGGGCTACACAGGCATGACAAGTACCCCGTTGCTGCTCAAGCATAAAACGACCTTGTAGCTCCAAGCGTTCTGTTCAGAAGGGCCCGGTGAAGGAACGGCTCAGAAACATTCACTAGTCGGGGAATAGTTTCCATCTCGACAGCTTGTCTCAACTTGGTTTAACTGTCCTTATGATTGCAGACTTTGCAGCATCCCGTCGAGTGAGATTCTGCTTGAAAAGCTTGAGCAAAAAGTGCCTTAGCCTGCGAGACGACTGGATATGTTATGAGTGAAGATGAAGGTATGCTTGACAATACGGTGCGTTCTTGACTGCATTCTTCGACTGGGGCACCGTACATACATCGTACAATCTTGTCCAATTTTTACATGTCAGGCAGCGACTGGTGTCTCTCAAAACACGCGGCCTGTCTGATTGCGGATCGATAGTCGAAAGAATGATGTCAGCTTGCGGGGTTTCTCAGTCAGCACTCAATCAGTATCCAAGTTGGACTCTATTTTGATCGATCTTTATGCACTTAGTCATGAGCTAAAATCTGACGTGGTCTTTTGAATGCTCCCTGCCGCCCGGTAATAGATGAGGGGTAGATATCAGACAGCACAGGCGGGGGGTGGTCTAGTCTTGTACTACATGAATAAGCATCTATCGTGGCATGAGATCCCCGCTCCTCAGACAGTAGACGGATATTTCATACATCCAACTGCAACATGGTCGACTTCACCCTCTCCAACTCCGAAGAGCAAACAAGAGCGGCAGCTCGCAGCTTCGCCGCTGCCCACTTAGCCGGCGCTGAAGCAATATATTCGGACCTCGCAATACCCGAAGAGCGATTTCAAAGTCTCCGGTCCATCTATGCGGCCGCAGTAAAGGCTAATCTCATCAAGGCCCAGGTGCCGGCGCAGATCGGGGGCAGCAGTACTAATCTGGTCGAGGCTGCTATCCTAGTAGAGGAGTTCTACGCCGTCGAAGCATCCGCTTCATTAACCATTTTCGGAACCGGACTGGGCTTGACTCCAGTCGCGCTGGCTTATCGGCCTTCAATTCAGAAATTCCTGGATCCCTTTCTTTCAAGCGAGGGGACACCGCTTGCTTCGTTGGTGTTTTCGGAGCCGGCGGGCGTAGTATGCTCTTTTCCCTCTTTCGGTTTCTTGCATGTTTATGCTGATCATGTCTTTAGGCGAATTGGCTGGAACCTGGAGCGCCTGGATTGCAAACAACAGCACGCCAGGAGGGAGACGAGTGGGTTCTGAATGGTGAAAAGATATGGGCTACCAACTCCGCAGGCTGGGACTTTCGAGGTGCCGATCTAAGCTGCGTGGTGTGTCGATGCGTTAATGAGGACGTGGTTGCGCAGGCCTCCTGTCCTCGGGACCTCATCATGATTCTGCTTGTCACTCGGGAGGATATCCAGAGAAACGGACCGGACTGCTTCCAGGTCCTCAAGCATGTTGAGACGGCGGGACACAAAGCCACCTCGGGTCCTCATATCAAGGTAGGTTGTGGATTTCCTTCCTCCATATTACGAATGACGCTGAAAAGAAAGTACACAAACCTCCGAGTCCCAGTCGAAAACGTCCTCTGCGTGCCAGGCGCCGGTGCCCCCATCGTGCTACACTCCTTTGAGATCTCGGGTTGGTGTCATCCACCCCAAGACAGAGCCAGCTGACATCCACAGCAATGCTCGTAGGAGCAATGGGCGTCGGGGTCCAACGAGCCGTATTCGATGCGGCCCTGACATTTTCTCGTGACCCACGTGGTGGCACCGTCCCCATCGCTCAACGTCAGTCCGTCGCGGATCTTCTGATCAACATCAAAATGCGGACAGAGACATCGCGGTACCTGACGTGGAAAGCAGCGCACTGTTTGACGTCCGGCCCTGGCGAGCATGCACAGCGGCGGGAGCATGCACTGCTGGCCAAGGTACATTGCTCCGATGCGGCGGTGCAGTCGTGTCTAGACGCGATCAACGCGGTGGGGGTGTAAGTATTTCAATCTTGATGTTGTCTACATGATCTAACGCAGTTTGAAGGTCGGCGTATAACCTCGAAACGCCATTTGCTTCCCTCCTCGCCACTGCGCTTGTCCTGCCTATTTTTGACGGAGGTAATGTGGGGATCCGCAGACGGGCACTGCAGGATCTGTTCCTTGAAGAAGGATATCAGCCGTGGGGTACGACCTTTGGATTCGATAGCTAGTAGATACATGCCTCATGCTGACATGCCCGTGAAAGGCGTTCGGCATTGACGGGAGGGGTGTGCGTTCTACGTATGGCGTCTCCTCTGGTGTCTTCGTGCCATTTGCTGTTTTAGTGCGCCGCAGCCATGGCCATATACGGCCGCTATGGTAACTACGGATCCAGGTTGATAGACGAAAATTGACACCATTTGTCGAACATTATTGTAGACTGAAACGTTTCAGTCCCACCAAGCAAGAGTTAATCAACCCGTCTGATACTAGAAACCAACAAACAAAGTATGCTAACGTGTCCGTCCTCCGTCACGATGACTTCATCTCTCTTCTGGTCCTTCCGTCTGCGGGGTGACAGACCTCTGTACCATTGATTATCCTCCTCCAGGCCATTGTATTTCTCTGGTATACATCTCGTACACTCAGGCAAGATGAGTAGAATCCAAAATAACAAACCAACAAGGCGTTTTCGGGAAGCCTTGAAGCAAGGTACGCCCACGCCGTCCCCTGGGTGGAATCCCTAACACGGATACCAGGGCGATGCCTCATCGGACCTGGCGTCTTTGATGGGATCTCAACACGCGTTGCAAGCCAGATAGGGTTCGACTTTCTGTACCTGGCCGGCAGCGGAGCCACGGGCTCGTACTGCGGCGAACCCGACCTCTCTGTCATGACCCAGACGGAGTTCTTCGAGGTGGGGCGCATGGCCGCGCTGCACACAGAGCTACCTGTCATTGCCGATGCAGATACAGGTTTTGGCGGACCGCTGAACATTTCTCGCACTGTGCGACTGTACGAGCACGCGGGAATCGCAGGACTCCACATTGAAGACCAAGTATGACAGGTGCCCCGCTTCTCATGCACGTTGTCCATATTGACGGCAATCGTTTTAGGTCTTTCCCAAGCGGTGCGGCCAGCTTCAAGGGAAAGACGTCGTGGACTTGGAAGTCTTCATTGAGCGCGTTCGCAGCGCAGTCGAGGCACGCCAGGACCCGGACTTTGTCATCATCGCGCGGACGGATGCGCGGCAAGCCAAGAAGTTCGGCGGTCCAAATGCCGGGGAAAAGGCATTCCATGAAGGGATCAAGCGGCTCAAGGCTGCTGCAGCTGCCGGGGCCGATATGGTCTTCATGGAATCCCCGCGCACCGAGGAGGAGTGTCGGACCCTCGTCAAGGAGATGGGAGGTGTACCTGTTCTGATCAATGTCCTTCCCAATGTGAGAAAGTCTCAATCGACAGTACATAGCGGTATGCTGACAGACGGCATGCAGGGCCTCACGCCCAACTTCAAGACAGAAGAGTGCAATCAGCTGGGCTTTCGGGCTGCGATCTATCCGTGTACCGGGTTTATTCCCGCGATGCTGGCTATGCAACGGTCTTATAGTGCTCTGAAAGCCACAGGAACGGATCTTGAAGCGTGCGAGGGACGTACGATCGAGGATTTCTTCGATAAAGTGGGGTTGGGCGAGGCGTGGGAGTTTGATGCTAGAATTAGCAATTTCAGCGAGAAGCAGACTGGAGGGAAAGGGGCTCAGGAGGAGAGTTGAAGGTGGTTCCATTTATCTCCTTGCTTTTGGTGATGGATATCAAGTTGTGGGGCAGAGCTAGACAGCATTTCTTTTTACACCAGGACTGGTGCATCCTGGTCATCGGCTCTCTTTTCTTCTCGAGCATATCACCAGCATAGTCACCTTTAGGTCCTAACGGGAATTCGTATTTCGGTGCAATGGCCAATGGAAGTTGCCGCAGTTGCAAGAACAGTGATGGTCACAGTGACTCTAACTATTCTGCGGTCGAGTAGAGCGCCGCCACGGACAAAAGCGGAAGAATAGAAAGTCTCCGATGCTACTCGTCGATTATCAATCTTTACCAATCCTCGATTTCTCCTTCGTCAATGATTACTCGGCTCTATCACAGAGGATATAAGTTCAAGACCAAGATACACAACGAATACTCAATTTGCGAGACATCTTCGAGCCATCACCTGTCGTCATCACTTGTACGAGTACAGCATTCATCTCCTGATCATGGAATATAACATTCTTATCACTGGTGGGTCAGGCTACCTGGGAGGCACACTTTTGAACCAGTTGAAGAGCGCAGAGCTCCCCAAATACCACAAACTGTTTGCATTCGTGCGAACAGTCGCCCAGGCCGAGGCTGTAAAGCAGTATTCCGCCGAACCCCTGCAGTTTGATATGCAGGACGAGGCCAGCGTGCGCGACAACATCTTGCAAAACAGAATAAATGTTGTCTTCTTTCTGGTAGATGCAATCAGCTCGAGCTGTCAAGAGTCCTTTATCAAGGCGTTGGCGGAACTGAGCAAGACAACTGGACAGGATGTGCACTTTCTTCATGCAAGTTTCCATTCTTGCGTAGTTGTATTTCCCAGCTGCTGACTCCTTTGTGAGAGCTAGACCAGTGGAGCGAAGGCGTTCTCCAACCATGCCGGAGCCCCAATTGATCGTCACCTTTTCGACGATGACCCCAACATATACGAGACTCAGAAATCTCAGCGGTCCACGCTCCCAATCATGCAACAGGTTAGTCAGACAGTTTATCAACTGTTTCTCAATCTCATCACGTCTTAGGGCGTGGAAACAAACAGTCGGATCATAGAGCTGAGCGAATCTCTCGGTGTGAAAAGTTACATATTCTGCCCCTGCCTGGTTTGTAAGTTATTGCGCTTTACCATGCAGAGCTAGGAACTGAGCTTCAGCACAGATGGTAAAGGAGAAGGATTCGGGAACAAGATATCGATTCAAACAGCTGCTATTGTGAGAGCAGCCAAGGCAACTGGAAGAGTATACAATTTGAATGGAAAAGATGGCTGGGTAGGTAATCTCTCACGCAGCATCATCCGATTCTAATCCCCCGGTGACAGGCGTGGCCGGTCTGCCATTTACTTGACAACATCATGTTGTACGTCGAGATACTGCGGAAGATACTGTCATCTGACGACATCCCCCATGGTCGAAATGGTTACTACCTTCCGTCAAGTGGCCGGGTTGCATGGACAGACGTTTACGCGTCCATTGCCGCTGCACTTTTCAAGAGAGGTCTCCTCAAGGATAGTGCTGTCCATCCGGCCGACGATGATATTGCTGCTGCTATGGCTGCTGCGCTCGACTCACCGAAAGAAATGGTGGCGGTCCAAGTGGGTGGCGAGTACGTGAATCCCTTTCTCAGGTCCAAAGTCAACAATAGTAACTTCTTTTCCGAGTAGATGTCTTTTGACAGCAAGAAACGGCCTCAGGATTGGCTGGAAGCCTTTGTTCCCTCCTGAGCATATTCTCGGTGTCCTCGATCAAGAAGTCGACCTTATTCTTTCAAACGATGCCGAAGAGTCACTCGGAGGAAAGCGCTGAATATATCATCAATTAAGCAAATGATCTTGAAATTGGCAATTGGCAGGAACCTTGAACCTCATAATATGTATGTTATAGTCGCAAGGGTTATGTATGTTTGTAGTCTCAGTCTGACTCTTGGAAGCTCTCTTGCGTACCAGGCAAGCTATACGCCATATTGTCATTGTTAAGGAAACCACCCACCTGCTACGGACGCTGTCCTCGCCCCGTTGACATCGCCGACGACGAGACCAGCAAAGGACGGCGCACAGTCGCAGTCATAGGCGGTGCAACAGTCTTACACAAGCCCTCGCCCTCGCTTTTTAATAAGACAACGAATACACCTCCATACCCGCAGCATCAGGCCTTCGCTCAGATGTACCCCACGCCGGAAAACCGACCAGTCGTGAACGTCCGGCCATATGACAACAAGTCGATCGACAATTCCATGCAACTGCCGAGGTCGCCGACAGGCGAGAGCAATGAGGCAGGGTCCCCACAGCCGGGGCGACAAAGGGATAACGCACCACCGAGTAGGTACMTAGAGGTGTTACGCGCGAACGTCCAGCGCAGTCTCAGTCTAGCTCAGCATAGCTCAGGCTGTACGCAGTCATGCCGATGATCAAGCAGGCTGTGAGCTTCAGTTGAGACCATGGCCCATACAAGGAACGCATGAATAGTACTACTGTTATCCGACGATACTAACTGAGCCCCGGGCCCAGTGGGCCTTTGCTGTGCGTATCTGCTTGTGTCATACGGACTGGTAATTTAAGGTAATAATCTAAATAAAACGGATATTACCTAGTAATTATTTACTCTACACCTTCGGGCTGTGTGTAGCACCGCTCCAATGCCATTCGCTTATTCATGGACCAGGATGCTCGAACGATGTAACATACCAAAGGACTTAGGTTGTGCAAATGTACGAAGCGGGACGGAGCCGACTGCTTCGATTAGCCACTGTCTCTGAGGCCTTAGCTCCACCTGTAATGGGCCGCCCAAGTGGATTGTGCTAGAGACTTATATCTACAGTGATTCTCGAAATGGCATGACCAATCTTGACCGATAAGAATTATGCTGGTTTGTTTAGCCCATAAGGTCCTAGAGTGAGTCAATTACTCAAGGCCTTCTACTATTTGCCATAGTGAAGGTCAAATTAATCATCCTCTTCCCGATACAGACCAGTACAGAGATTTACCATTCTGTAGGATGAAGCAGCATCAATACTGAATACAGGTACCATGAACAGTCCAGTCTTCACCTCAGGGGTCCGAGCGTGGGTGGACAGGAGATAGATGGGGAGGAACGTCGATATGAGCCGCTGTTTTCGTGAGGAAGACGTCTGCTGCGGTCTTTGTCGAGCTGTAGCCATCACGAAAAAGGAAGGACATGGGAAATCCGACGTCAAAAGGAGCCGCATTATCAATCTCGGCGAGGTCATTCTCTGACAGGCTAACACTCAATGCTTCGACATTGGCTTTGAGATGCTCAACCTTGCGTTGGCCGATGATCGGGAAGACATATGGTGCTTTGTGCAGAACATATGCAAGGGCCTAGTATACAGGCATAAGTTAGCAAAGAGCCCAGTACAAGAATATATATACCCGTAGGATCCTTGCGACAACGTACAATTGCATGAAGGCTTGTTTTCTTTTGGTCCGCAATTTTCTCTAGCGCCTCAGAGATTTTGACATCATGTTCGTTGACAGAGGAGGCTCTTGCAGAGCCTTGTTCCCCTTCCTGACGTGCCTTGGCCGACTTGAATTTTCCCTGGCCCAGGGGGGCCCACGGAGCGATCGCCATGTTCTGGTCGCGACACATTGGTATAATTTCGCGCTCCAGGTCCCGAAAACCAGCATTCCATTTACCCTGATAGACGGAGAATGGGCGCAGACCATTCGCCCGCGCATATGCATTTGCTTTGACAACGACCCAGGCGGGCGTATCGGAGATTCCAAGGTAGAGGACCTTTCCGGCGTTTACCAGAGCGTTGAGGCCCTGCATTACTTCTTCGACTGAGGTGGTGAAGTCCCACCAGTGGACGTAGAGCAGGTCAATATAGTCTGTTTGGAGCTTTTTTGAGGCTTTTCTCCACAGAGATGCGCATACTCTTGACAGAGTTGCCCACATAGTTTGATTGGAGGGGCTCTGTAGTACGGTGAGCTGAGCGAAATCCGGTTGTGTATTTGGTGGCGATACTGGAGGGTATGGAGTCAGCGTAGGCCTAGAGCAAAGACTGGCTTAGGGGTGGGATGGGATGGTACACAAGTTGGTCCCGATTCTTGCGGGCTTGCATCCATTCTCCTAGCCAGATTTCAGACTCCTCATTTTGATAGTTGTTTGCTCTGCGCCATTGTTAGTCATAAAGTCCGTTGTGTGACTGGTCAGACAGACGTGTCAATGAAATTGCCCCCCAGGTCGTAGAATGCATCGAGGAGCTTAAATGACTGCTCTTTATCACAATCGCCCATAAAGTCTTTCCTACATGGACGATAAGTATCAGGTGCTGTCATAGGGCGGGGTGCAATTCATACCAAGCTGTACCAAAATTCATAGCTCCAAGGCACAACGGGGAGACCTTGACGCCGGCACTGGGCGACAGAACTCGGTGGTAACCAAGCAGGCTGGCTGGCTTAGGCGCAAACTGAAAGACTGAGGCCATGATTGATGCGGACGGGATAGTTTCTCTGGTGTATAAGGATGTTGGGATAACTCTAAACCATTTAGCGGAGAGACTTAAGGCAAGATATATATAGGGTTTTATAGTGGGGACATTGATGTATTTCGAGAGCCTTAACGGTCTGAATTGAGGTGAGGATGTCTGTATCAGTGTTAAGTGTTAATGCCGGGGTAAAGACTTTCCGAGGGTTATTTGATAGGCACGAAGCAATGATTGGACAACCGGAAGCGACTATAAAATAAAGTTAGGATTTGCACTAAATGCTGACATTTGCATGGGGCGTCCCATGGTAACTCGCGCACTGACACTAGCGCATATTATAAACACTAGAGGCAGGTAATGACAGTCAAAATAATTGAGTTTGCCACGGGAGATAGTTAAACCCGTCAGCTGCCTGCGGGTTTCAAAATCCTCATAGATCATTTATTTGTCCATTGTCTATTGTCAGCAAGTCCCGAAAACCTGCATTCCCAGATAATATGCAGAGCTCCGTAGCTGTCGCCTCGTCCGTTCAACAGCGCCTCCCGCCGAGAATCGAGGTGACATCCCAGGATACTTGGTTCGGGGTTGCGGACCCAGGAAGAAGACGGAAAATTGCAGAATCGATTGAACCAGCGGGCTCGGCGTTAGTGTTCTCATGGCCAGTGGCTGCCTCTTTTTATCTAGTACTAACGAATGGAAAAAGGACAGCGTCAGCGAACAGCGAACGCAGACAGCCAACTAGACCAGCAGCTGTCCACTGAGCCGTCTGACCTAGTCGACCTATTGCTGCAGATCCTGAGTACGATACAGATTACAGGGCCAAACGCAATCAATGCCAGACGCACCTTTCAGCAGCTTGAAACCATCATTATTGCTCTAGGCAGATGCGTTAATGGGTCGCCCGTGGCTGATCTACGTCTGGGGGTAGCGAGGCTCAACATTCTGCGAGCATTACATGTCAATCTCGAAGTGCTGGGTTACCGGCCATGTGATATTTACGACAATGCACAATCGGTATTCACTATCCAGGGTCCTTCCCATCCCTCAAGCAGGCGTATGAGCGAGGCAGAGCTGCCACCGGCCCTAAAACCAACCACTATTCAGCGCACGGTTCCTCACCATCCATGGCTGGACCTCATCCCTTTCCCGTACATGCGGGATACTCTGATCCTGACACAAGGCTTCGTTGACGAAGAGCAACTCTGCCACGATCTGTCTGGATGGGGAGCATCTAGTGTGCCGCGCTCTAGTCGAGAAGCAAGGACCGGTGAGACAGGCATACTCGTCTGGAAGGATCCCTGGGATCCGTCCGGTTGGGAAGTCACCGAGACATTTCTCCGGTTATGGGGGTGGACTGTCCGGGACTGCTGGGACCTGTTCCATTCGACAAACACGTGGCGCAGTCGTCGCGGGGAGAGACCGCTATTTGCAATTCCTGAGAGCGACAACCGATGACTGAACTCTTCTATAGATGAATTATGATCCATAGACTTTTAATCTATTTTCAAGCTGTAGATGCGCGGACACCTTCGCCTTCCATGCAATTGACCCGGTCTCGTACAACAGCCCCCACGGCCAGGTCAATTTCCTGATCTCCCTGGACGAGATCATACCGACCGCTGGTGTCATTACAGCTCAGTAGACTCAGCGCAACGGACGCAACATCTGGGTCCTCTTAAGTATTACTCGCCAGTTGCTGGGCTTGTCAAGAGCTATCTCAGCCGTAAGCTGATGGGCGGGTTCTGGGTTGATAGTATTTCCCTCTTAGTTTTATTAATCACCTCACTTATAGTTAGAATTGGCTCGGTCTCTGACTTTTTGATTCTTCAGCTCTGTCATAAAGTTATTGTTGTGTCGCAAATAATCAAGATCACGAAGCCTATGACTGGATTTATTAAGGCCCCACTCTAAACGCTAATTGCTGACACTCGCTGGTAGGCTCGGAAATATGATTATGCCATGATGCCCGTTCATGACAGTATCGTAGAGTGCTCGGGTTTAAAAGTTACAAGAACTGAGTAGGCAGGGCAATAGAGAGACCGGAGCTAAGAAGAGTCATGGTGGTCATCACTCCGAACTCCAGCCGAAAGGTTCCTTCTATGTGACCTATGCGACGACTTCCCACATATAAAAGGTCCCTGGTTCTCCTTCCAGTCAGGCATGTCCATGATTTCCTGGTTACGTCGCAAGACCATCATTATCCAATCACTCTTCTTTCAAGCTTAGTGTAACTACCTGCTCAGCATCATGACAGCACGCTACGCCGACGTTCACAAGAACCCCCAGGGCCCAGGGGATGCTCGCCCCACAGCCATACAGATCATCCGCGATGAGGGCCTTGAGGGCCAACTGACCGGCTCGTCAATCCTGATCACTGGCGTCTCCTCAGGTATTGGTGTTGAGACAGCTAAGGCGCTCTTCACCACCGGCGCAACCCTCTACCTGACAGCTCGGAATCTGAAGTAAGGCAAAGCATGCCCTTGGTGATATGGCTTCCTCTCCACGCGTGCACCTGCTGGAATTAGACTTGGAATCCCTAGCCAGTGTACGTGCCTGCGCTGCCGAGCTCCTCACCAAGACTCAAACCCTCAATATCTTCATCGCCAATGCTGGTGTCATGGCAACCCCGGAAGGGCGCACCAAGGACGGATTTGAGACCCAGTTAGGGACTATCTATCTGAGTCACTTTCTGCTTTTCCTCCTTCTGCGTCCCGCGCTTCTCGCCGGCGCCACCCGCCAGGCTAATTCCCGCGTGATCCTCCTCGCTTCTATCGCGCACCGGTTCTCAGAAGTGGCATTTGATAATCTCAACCTCGATGGTGAATACGACAGCTGGAGGGCGTACGGACAGAGCAAGTGCGCGCTTCTATGGGCGGCTAATGAGATCGACCGCCGCTATGCCTCCCAGGGTCTGCGTGCCTTTAGTATCCAGCCCGGCGGAGTTCAGACTGGACTTCTGCAGCATATATCAGAGGAAGAGCAGAACAGTCTTGCTGCTGATCCAGCCCTGGTGCCACAGATGAAGAGTCCAGAGCAAGGTGCCGCTACTTCTGTTTGGGGGGCTGTCTCCAGATCTCTTGAGGGAATGGGCGGAAAGTACCTTGAGGATGTGCAGATTGCCAAGGCGTATGACCCGAGCGAGGGGCAGTGGGCACCAGGCTATGCCTCATATGCATACAACCCGGAAAAGGAGAGAAAGCTGTGGGAAGTATCGCTGAAGTTGGTTGGTGTGGACGCTTGATTAGAACCAAGCGACAGGCATAGTCGTTGCAATATACTGATTATTTACTGAATATAAATTCGGCCAGCTCCGTCAATTAGATCTGACTTGGAATTCAATAAATGTATGCGAATCTTTGGTTTATATGCAAGAAATCTTAAATGCAAGTCGAAGCAGCTACAGAGAAGTGTACGCCCAAAGGTTTTGGAGCTTGCTTATCGCAGATGCGATATTGAGGATATCATACGGGCGGCGGTCTGCGCGATGGAGAAAGCGAGGCATGCAACATGTTGCTAAAATGTATTTTATGTTACCTCCCAAAAAGAGTCACGTGTAAATTTCCACTTAGAGCGCCAAAAGATTTGGACACTTAAAAAGTTAAATCTCATAGGGTTAATATCTTGCAGTCTGTGGCGGTAACATGCCGCGCCATGTCTAAAATGGGGGTCTAAAATGGGGGCTCTTTCTCTTTATGCCATTTAAGAACCTCTCGATGAAAATTCTGTGGTGATTCTGGTTGATTAACTAACCAGCTACTTTCTTTTGCTAACATTTGCATATCCGACTTTGCTTTAGTAATGTCTATTCATGCAGTGCTTCGTACAATTTACCTAATATGTGATGCCCCATCTGAATAACGCAGAGACGTTAAGTGACGAGTTCCGGGTAGTTCCCAAGCCAAATTCGTACAGGCGATATAGTGCTGATAACTAACTTTTAAGGAACTGCCAGATGCTTCCCAAGATGTATTGGTAAAGTTATTAATACGAAGTTCCTCTCAGTATATGGATGATGAATAAGCGATTCGAGTAGCCGAAGCGACAGCAAGTATGAGTCACAGGTGTTGAAAATCTTCTTGTGTATACGACCAACAATCATATGATTATTGATACAAAATCCTGGACGAAGTTTCAGTCAATTTACTTCCTGCAACTTGCTGAATCTACGTCTGTGAGAAAACCAGCAATTGGAGCAACAATTGTATATACATAACTCATACGAGAATCCCAATGTCTTCATATGATGTCCTTGTCACCGGTTCAGCAGGCCACCTCGGCACTGCTCTCATGCTCTTTCTTCCTTCGCTTGGCTTCACACCTTTTGGCATTGATATCCTGCCCTCCTCCACCACCACATGCGTAGGATCTATTACGGATCGAGCTTTCATCAGCTCCATCTTAAAGTCCCACCCCATCAAGCACGTCCTGCACGCTGCAACATTGCACAAGCCACACATCTGCAGCCATGATAATGAGGACTTTGTCTCAACGAATATTCTCGGAACGCTAGTCCTCCTCGAAGAGTCAGCCAAATACAGCCACCGGATTGAGAGCTTCATCTTCTTCAGCACGACCAGCACATTCGGTATGGCACTCAGTCCCAAGCCAGGATTCCCCGCTGCATGGATCGATGAAACTGTCGTCCCCGAACCTAAAAACATATACGGCGTGACAAAGGTCGCAGCGGAGGATCTCTGCGCGCTAGTCCACAAGCAGAGCGGCATGCCAGTGCTGGTTCTCCGGACGAGCCGCTTTTTCCCCGAAGAGGACGATGACGAGGGGCGCCGCGCGGCCATGGACGATGATAACTTGAAGGTTTTGGAGCTTGCTTATCGCAGATGCGATATGGAAGATATCGTGCGGGCGGCGCTCTGCGCGATGACGAAAGCGAAGGATATACGCTGGGGAAAGTACATCGTCAGCGCGCCTCCGCTCTTCAAGAATGATGCGCACACGCTCGACAGGCTTAACCGTAACCCGGCAGAGGTATTTAACGAGATGTGTCCGGGTTTAGGCGCCGTGTTCGAGAAGAAAGGGTGGAAGCATCTCGCGAGGATTGATCGGGTGTATGATTCGAGCAAGGCGATGAGGGAGCTGGGATGGGAGCCACAGTATACGTTTGAGAAGACGGTGGAAAGGTTGGCAATGGATAGAGAGTGGAGGAGTGAATTGACAGCGAAGGTAGGCAGGAAGGGATACCATGCTGTGAGCACTGGGGTTTATACAAAGCGATAGACAGGACTCCACGCAAGAAGTAGTAGAGCTCATCACAATCATACAGCCTAGCCTCCTTTAGTCAAGTAGCTCTTCCAGCAAAAGTACGAGCAATGATAGATTGGACTGAACAGCGTTCTTTTGCTGATTTTGTGGGAGCGGAGATGACATTGAGGGCTGGTGGATATGCAAGTCAGACACCACTCTTTAGCTGTCAGAAATGGGTTTATTGAAATTGTCAAGGCTATGTTGAGAGCAGAATTTGATTTTGGATTGAACACGCAGCAGCTAAAAAACTCGGATTGTTTACTATCAGACGGTGAATGCACGGTGTAGTTCCAGCCCATCTCATAGCCTTTTAGTATTCTCTGGTACACTTAACTCTCCGCATCCACAGACTGGACTTGCTTCCAAACTTTAGCATATCAACCAAGATTCAAAGGAAGAATATCAAGCTCGGTGCCCTGGTAGGGCTGTCAATAGTTACGTCACCCGAACCTGGGAATTGCCACCCCCGGGCAAACAATCGGGTCCACATACATATACCCTAGCGACATGCCAGCTTTGATAACAGAATTCAGGAGTTTACCTGCCCGTCTCAAACGGCAGCTGTCAGTATGCAGAATATCAGCCTGTCTCATGCAATATCTCCAAAGGGCTGGGTGCGGTTCGTTTCCTTGAGAACCCGCCCCCGTCCCAATGCTATACTCGCTCTTGCCTGGAATTCCCACAGAATCGGTGTGCAGACGCCGCAGAGTAATCGATGGCCGAGAGAGTTTCAGACTGGACAGATGCGGAATATACCTGACCAAGAAACAACAAAGAATGATGCAAAAATTCCGCAGCCGCCACCAGAGAAAGACTCACCGTCGGCTCGACCAGTACACGTGGACTCAAAGGGAAGAAAATACTACAGCCTCAAGGACTACAGGGAGGGCCCGAACCCGGAGAGCGGCGAGCTGGGTAAGGAGTATAATTCGGAAGATGTAAGGACTCATAACAAGGATGTGGACGACAGGCATAAGAAGGATTGAAGGCTAATATGCTCTATGTGGATGTACTATTGCTATTTTCTCCTCATGTATTATATTTGTTTTTCAGTATAGACACACCTGTATTCATTAAGCACAAAATTGAATTGAGCTATTTGCTCTTACTTGGTAATAAATCCTATTGGGTATATACAGGTAACAGGGATGTCCACTTGCCAGCTAAATCCTATATTTTGATTTCAGCATTGAACGCTACAGGGAGAAGGATAAGAAGGCATAACAAGTCACATTCCGCTACATCAATGCTTCCTTGTACTACTTCTTTCTAGTTCTGCAACGCGCCCAGAGAGCCGTAGCAGTCGCTTCTGTAGCACCTACAAACTATAGTCAGCTTATCCTGCGCAATAGACAGCTGGTAATTTTCCAGCCGACATGACACACTGCTCCTGGTAACGATTGACTTATGTCGGAGAACGTCTTTACGAGACAGTGGTATATACTCACACTGAGATTGATATTTTGCGGCACCCTATATTTCGCGATGGTGTATCGGTATACAGATGTACCGCCAACGATGGCTCCAATTGCAAACGCAGCTAGGCTTATTTATCGTGTAAAGTCAGCCAACAGGCAGGTAGAAAAGGATCCCGGGTTTGTGCCAACCCTCTGCTAAAGACACTGGATGTTCTCTTTGCAAACATAACTATGGGTATTCAAGACTCTGTCCTGTGCAAGTACAGAAGAGCATTGCCGAGTTATTGAAAAGTCAAATCTGGGCACATTATCAATGAACGACGAAGAGAAGGAAGCTATATACTTGTGGAGGATGTGGCCTGACCCAGAGGCGAGATGCGATATCGAACCAGAAGTGTATATCACTCTACCATGGTTGATCGGCTCCGGTTGTTTTTGTACCAGGAAGCTTTCTGAGCTCAGTGTGACCCAATGGCCTGTACAGAGTCATTTGTCAAAGCTCGTTTCAGAATATCCAGATATGACAGGACACAATAATGCATTTTGTTGATCGTGCCTTTTTATACTGGTCACAAGACGCATAGCGTCCAAATCAGCACAGTAGCCATTTGAACACCTGTTGCGACTGCACCAGACGGGTTATGTTGCCATGACGCTATGTGCGGCCCGCCGGTCGGTATTTGCCTTTGAGACACTAAGCCAGCTATTTCGAGCCTAACAATTTTAGTCACAGTTTAAGATGGGAATGAAATGGGCAACCCATCCGCTCCTCTCCTTCCATAATGGCATATTTATCGAAGGAATCGAGGCATTTCTTAGGAGAATGCATAACACCATGGCCAAGTTTCAAAAGCGTAAAGGCGGAGAAAATAAGACAGAAGTTGACCATGATGGGGCCTTGCCTTTTGAACTGCAGTCTACAGTATGTACTACTCGCCAATGATTCGCCTACTATAGCGGAGGAGAAATAAGCTTAGGTACTAGTGAGTAGTGACATGTATGTATTAAGGCCCAAAAGTCTGATGATCTGATCAGCGGGAGGATAAGAGGCAAACTGGTCCCACACGATATGGTATAAATTAAGTCTCGTACTCACCACCTTAATTCTGCAAAGTCAAGGCGGTATTTCTGTATCTGCTTCTCGTTATGAAGCAAAGATCTCATGAAGCTTTAGAGAATTTCATCCTTACCTCAGTACCTAGTACCTACCATTGTCCCTGATTCTTCTCTCCGGATATGCCAGGTGTCCGATAGTCACCTTTTTCTTTCAAAATTGAGCAGGGTGAAGATTGTTCGGTCCAATATACTCAATGTTCCATTGTCCTTCACACCTGTCACCAGTCTTCTGTTTTCCTGGGAGCCATACAAATCGCCATATCTACGAAGGCTGTTCAAGTAGTGATTGGACTGTTGGAAGCCCGTCTCTGGCAATGACACCAATCTTTGCCGCGTCCCGTTTGTATATCTTATCATCGAAGTCCATAAAAAGAGACTATTTAGTGAGCAGAGAATTCATGCCCCAGACTCATTGCAGGCCACATGACCTGTGAGGTTTCTGCCAAAGAGGACACGGAGTTGTTGATATACTCCGTTGAATTCTGGTATGTGTACTCCGTATGGACGTTGCACTTCCTGCTTGTGTCAAGCATTTCAAGTAACCAAACAAGCCATGGTGGCTTTTGTATGGTTAGACTCTTGATTCATTGACAGAACTCTAGAACAAGGTCAAGTGCCACTAGTATTGGGTACATACTTGTGGAGAGCTTGCTTAGGGACGGTACTCTTTGCTAGATACAAACAAATGGCGTCTTGTTTATCAAAGACCTCAGTCACAATTTCGTATCCTTGGGACCATGCCGCATCTGGGGATTGGTGGTCTGCGGAGTGTCATGGCAGCGTAACTATGACGCACAGGCTACAGCAGGTGCTATTGGATGTTTCCAGCGCGAGTGCCACCCATACGTCTGAACAATTTAGCCACTACTCTTTCTGACTGGTATTGTAATAAGAGGTGGCAGCAGCCGGCAATCCTATAGATTGGGGGATGCGGACCCCCCCGCACCGTACCATGAAAACAGAAAGGACCTCCGTCATCGACTCCGCATCCATCCAATCCGTATATAGTGCTCATTCCCTACCTGAGCACAATCAGTTCCCTTCTGAGTGTGTGAGACCTTCCTTACATTGCGACTGTTTGAAACACTGTGTCAACGACGAGCAACCTATCGAATCAATATGGCACCTGCAACAGGACAACAATACGTCGACATTGAAATTAAAGATGACATGAAATATGACATTCGAATCGAAAATGCTCACATAGACAGGTATTTACTTCTCAGTCTGCCTGAAAGTTACTTGCAGTTTGATCTGACATCGCTCAGCGGCGAGTTTTATAACGAGGATAATCAAAACGATACCCTAACCACCGACGATGTTGACGATATGGTCATCCGCCATAACGGTGGCTTGCGGCATATCTGTTCCTGTGGCGAAGAACAAGGCTTCAAAGGGCTGGAAGGCACAATCGACCTCTTCGACGATGTAAAGGATGCCAAAATTTGCACTCTAGCATGGAATGCTTCTATGGGACCCGGAAAAAAAAATAAGTTCGAGATGCGTAACCAAGACCCACGATACATTATCAATATTGGAAACTGGAATGAATCTGGTGTCATGGGCACGGTTCCGGTTACCATCACCGAGAAGTAGGGTACCTGGGGTGTTTAGTTACTACTACAGTGTCAAGATATGAGCTAGTTGAATCTAATTCGCTGTTCCCGGACTTCTTCTGTTTAGATGCGCTGAGTCGGAGGCTAAACTCCGTAGCTTAAACAAGCCCTCCAATGGTGCAGACCCTTAAATGTCCTTCGCTTCCTTTGCTCTGAACCAGAAGATATCCCAAATAAAGACCACGACGGCATGTCATATGGTCATTGATAGATTACATAGGTTATCTAACTACTAATAACTGGATTTGCAGACTTCAGAAATGGAAATACTGCGCTGCAACCGTTGTAAGAGGAAGCAAATTGTGAGCGCTGAGCAATATGTCGCAAGAGTCAAGCCGAAAGGCAATACAGACGCTGGATTACCATATGTACGGCCATATCTCCTGTCCCCTACGTTGGATCTCAAAACAGGGAAACCCTCCGTAAGTCGCAACGAGTCCAACTAATCCTACAGAGATACTTTGGTGCCTACATATACCTGGCTTCACCCAAAGTCAAGTTTGACAAACTTGAAGACTCTAAATTCTTTGAAGACATCTCCGCAGAACAATCATCCTGTAGGCATCTTTCCACTTTCCACGAAAAGATAGTCCATGGCGCAGCTGCATGCCAGGTGGTTTCATGAGATTCTCAAGCACAGTGAATCGATTCGCTAACTCTGACTGGCCAAGGCGTATACACCTTTTACTGTGCCTATAGAACCTGGAGGTCCGTGCTAATTTTGATCTTGATGAATAGGCTTCGTCATGCTGCTTTCTGAAGCCTCTGTGGTCCATCAATGCTGACTTTTGGACCACCTAGGCTATAGAGGAAGCGCAATTGACCTTGGCGTGAGAGAGTAATATTGGCCGATCCTTTAACGTGCCATGCTCTAATTGGATTATGAGCGCAGAAGCTATCAGTTCGGGAGGAATTCTGTAACCCATAGGTTCCTCATATAAACAGGCCGATCCAACGATCCAGATAATCACGCTACTACTGCTTTGATAGATCATTCCACCTTACTGATCTTCAGGAGATCTTGTGGCCTAGGCTTCGCTCGATACCTGTTTATCTTGGTTGTAGATAAGCTCTACCGCCGGTTTCAAGGAACGAATCAAATACATCTCAGCTCGACTTTATATTAACATCTCGCTTGTTGATCACTAGAGGCTCCAACTTCGGAGTTGAAAGGGTATGCACCTTGTCGCCATTAGTTTGTAGGACCACTCGCAAAGAAGGGTTGGGTGCTAAACAGTACCGTAGAGTAGTACATTATCATGTTCGAAAGACTTTTGAGAGATCTCCTTTCTCTCACCGTTATTTATACCAACCACGGATTCACGTATTAGTTGAGATATGATCATAGCCGCTGAAAACGACGCTCGTAGAGCTAGGGTATCCTTTGCACAGCTGACATTGTCACACTCGAGCCGGTTGGAACTTTATGTATTGTCGAACTAACCCGGGTGAACATTATCCCCAAGAAGTTACAAGTAACGAGTGGAACAAGGATGGTCGGGGCCGCTATGTCACGTCATCCCTGGTTGTTGGACCCCTTGACTTCAGACACTCCTTCTACCTCATCATTTCCTCTTCATACGGATGGCATCAGATAAAAACTTTCTCAATGTTTGCCGCAAACATGGACTTAATTAAGTGCAGCATATAGCAAGTTCCGCAGGTCTATTCCTCGAATGGCTTCTGTTTCTTGCGAATCCATTGAAACTACTGGTCGGGGCTATCAATTTGAAAAATTGCTCCAAGAGAAGCCACACATAGGTTGCGTCTCGTTGGCAAGTTTTGGTCCATGAAGCCGGTTGGGGTTACTTCGATCGCGAACTAATATCTTCTAGATCTGGGCATGATAAATCTGTCCTAAAAGGCACATCAAAGGACATCTATACGAACTTCACCGAGAGGACAAAGCCCCAGCTCCCTGAAAGTCGCTGCATTCGGTTCCCATGTGACACTATTCCAGACCATCGGATATTAGTCTATAGATACTTGACGGACGACTTCTTACGCCTTGTCTGGGAAGGCATTCCCATGCAAGCTCGGAAAATGATTTTAAAGACTTGCCTGCTAGGGATTGCTGAATTGCATGAAAGGCATATCGTTCATGTCGGTAATCTGCCTTAGCGCATTCACAGACTTGAAAACTCAGCAGGAACGAAAGTGGAGCAAACCGTTCCTCACGGGCCTCGTGCAACTCAGAATAATAGGATACAACAAGATCCATTCCAGCTTGGATTTCCTATAGGCAAGGATCCGCGGCTTGTCGAAATGGGTAGGTCAGCTCGAGGGATTGCTTCGTACGCAGAGACAAGATTGGTTCATCTTTCTCGCCTCAGGGGGATATCCAAATAGTCATGTGACACGGCCAATCGTTGCGATATGTGAACCAGTGGTGTAAGATCACGTGGTCAGCAGTCTCATCTCGCGATGCGGAATTCACCCAATTTGAAGAGAGAAACCGCCAGATCGCTTACAGCAGCGATGAACCCCTTTAGAGCTCCATCTCGACTAGATGGAGCTTGGCACAAGGTCGGCCTTGCCTCGGCGTTTCCAGACCTCGAAATCGACTATGATGGCCGTCGTATCACAGCGAAGTGCAAAGCTTTCCGAATCCCGAACTCCAATGCAAACGGGCCTCAAGAGGCTGAGTGTCCGGTCGAAGCGGATATTGACCTACCAGGCGACTTGAAAGATCAGGTCCTTGTGTTTAAGTATAAAGGAAAATTCCATGCAATTGATCACGTGAGTGAGATGAAGATGGATAGGCAGAATCACGCTGACTCTGCCAGCAATGCCCTCACTCGTCGTTCCCACTGTCGCAGGGCAGCCTTTTTGACATTGAAGACTTTGGCGTCGTGCTCAGCGCCGGTATCACATGTCCCAAGCACGGCTGGTCCTTTGACCTCTTCTCTGGGCAGTCGGACCGTGGCAACTACAAGCTCAAGGTTTGGGAGGTGCAGCTGCGTGACCTTCACACATCGACCGATGGGCCTTCTGAGGTGAGCGACAAGGAGGTTTGGGTGCGGCGGAAGCAACGGATCGGCTAGATGAGCGATTCAGTCCCGAGCAGGATCGACCTGAGCATTGCATATCTCCCATTAGTCTTCCTCCTGCAATCGACTCGGCATTAACAGCAATGCCATGCATCTATGCAGGAATGGACTGTTGCGCTTGCTATTTGTGCTTGCACTTCAATGCGTCCTGTCGTGAAGAGCACGAGTACATGGACGCCATTCGTCCGCAGCCCATTGCCATACATTTACAGTCTGTGGCAGGCCCGCGCAAACGCATGTCATTCCGCATCACACCGTGCATGCCACTCAGCTATTATTCTGTGGCCGTAGAATAGGTCCTAGCCGCTGCGCCTGCCCACTCACAGGAATTGGAGCGGATAGACATGATGAGAAATGAGAATATCCAAGCACCAACTTATCTCAAGTGCTCATATAGCGATAGGTATTAGAGATCAGGGACAAAGAAGAACAAAAGGGAAAAACATGTCAGCGTAGAGGGGGGAATAGGTTTTCAAATTCACCAATATCCATTGGCAGCCTGGGTGACAGGACCGGCCTGGTAAAATTCCGAGAAGCAATACAATCTCCCTTGATTGAATTTTAGCAGATCAATTCGACAAAACACTGAAGAATTTTCGAAGCCTTCAATAAACCCAGCAGGCAGATGAGTTGTCGGTCCAGCGCCACCTGATTCGCTCACATCATCACTGATTTGTAGCTCAGCATTTTGCAGGATGTCGTGCCCAGACCATCCATTTACACTGGCATTTTCACGACCTTCTGTCATGATACCCGGAGACGCGAGGAGAATAGGGAATAGCAGGGTTTGAAGTTATGTCTATAAATGACTCCGGCTGGCACGAGTAGCAACACTAATAAGGAACTTCGCTGGGGTGGCTGCTCTACATCTCTGTGTCAGACCTCTGCGCTTTTGGCCCTTGCATCGACCACGTCAACACACCATTCAGGAGAGTTATCGAATCCTTGATCTGATTCTCTCCGTAGAACTGCCAATGTCACCGAATAAAGGCTTTGAGCTCAGCTAAGAACTCCTTAATGGGATTCAAGTCTGGAGAGTATGGAGGCACACCAGCTTCACAGCAGCCTCTGAACACATTTGCTCTGTGCTCTCAGAGTGACGAAAGGATGCATTATCCATGATTTAAGACAGACTTTGGCTCGGGCCATTTCCCAGAGTGCTGGAAAAGCTGCTCAATGAAATCCTCAAAAACGGACACGTCTTTCGAGCCTCGGAACACCCAAGACAAACCAATGCCATCTTGGTCGTATACAGGTAGTCGGTGATATTGTTGATCACGACGAAATTTGGACACTTGTACTGGTTCAGTACCTAGTGGGGACCAGCCCGTTCTTCTGAAGCCTATCCTTTGTCGCATCCAGACTCGTTGACATAGACCAGGTGGTCTGACCGGAAATCAGAGATAAAGGGAAAGTATTCATCACGCATGTGCTTCTAATTATAGCACAGCCAGTGCAAGTGTTGGCTAAGATGACAAGGCTGGAAATACCAGACACAACTATTCTCCCACAATTTGTCGATAATCATATCCAGCCAGAAACAGTACGAACCTATCATTTAGGGGAGCACTGGATAAGCACCACCTTCATCCCTACTTACTCAGATAATGAGTTACTCCTAGGATGCGGAACTTGCTTTTCACCAGGTAGGACCATCTCACTTTCTGAGCATCTTTGAGAAGTTGGGTGCGTGCCATTCTGGGCCTGATGAAGAACCATGAGGCATATTTGAGAGCTAGATAGTATTCCATCCATTGCTGGAAAACTGCAATTGAAGCCAGAATCCGATTACGTTAGGCGGGCCTATGGACAAGCATGCAATGTGCGATTTGGAAGGTGAAGAGGTTGCAGACCGTGAAGGTTCCTAAATTGTGTCATACATCAGTTATAATACTGAACGGAATATATGCAGTTGTTATCATGATAATTGATAGTTCATGCCATAACCCTGTATGGGCTTCCTACTCATGGATAATGGAGTTTTTGGGTATATCAGCCCACGCAGGCACAACGTCAGAACTTCATGGAGTTCGCTGTATAAGTGCCATCTCCTCATCTAAAAGTATGTGAATCAACTTAGTCTTCAGTTGGCAGGACAAAAAGATAATTATACCTTAAAAGCTATTCATTTTTTGTCCTTCATTTGTAGTCTAGCTCTGAATGGTACCTTGAGAGGTATCGGTGACTTATTCTTGTGGAGTAACTGTTAATGGAACTGACTGACTTGATAATCATTAAAGTTATATTATAAGGCGGTTGTAGAAATAATTAACGCTGATAATAAGTTGAATTGCGGCGCAGCTGAATGATAACAGGCGTGATGTCATTAAGTTGCTACTAAACCTGTAGGATGCAATCCAACCTTCAGTGAAATTGTTCATGAGGTTTTCCATATTTTATACCCACCTAAAGCAGCTTTCCAGTGGCACGCAAGTGATAACACTAATATCATGATTTTAAGCGTGTAGTTTCTTGGTATATGTGTTGGTTTTATGAGCTAGGATGTTAGGTTTTGTGATGTTATTCAATCTGATATCATAAGAACATTCCTGAAAATTGTAACCAAGGGCTAGGAGGCCCTGATTCCATGGTAAGCTAACTTGTCGTAATGTCAAAGATCTGCAAACAGCTAAACCCGATAAATTAACTTTATATGTAGTAGTCATTAAGAACACCGGTATTTCCCCAATAGCATACCACCAGAGGCCATACAAAAGTTTTTAACCATCGGAAATCGAGCGAGACACAGAGAAAACCCGGAAAAGGGGATTTTTAACAAAACTTGCAAAGTCTAAACCTGGGATTTCTGGGTCGACCGGAGACATCCACTGAATGCCCGAGAACCCAGCCTTTCTGGCATAGTTCTCATGGACTGCAAGGTCCCTGATGTAATGATTGAAAGACATGGGCGTCGGAGCATGCAAAGTTGTCCGCACTCTTACACCCCCTTGCACCCTGTTGAGCAACTCCGAACTCTGCCCAAACCGAGGGGTCTTCTCTCTGGGTGATTGCCCTGCCGGAAGCTGATTTAGGTCAGGGACGATGCCAACACAGCGCCCTCCAGGCTTGACGCTTTCGAAGATATTGTGCCACATTGACAGTAATTCGGCTTCGTTAGATGCATAGTTGAGGATCCATGCAGCTAGGACCAGGTCGAACTGTCCTAGATGAAGTGGCTTGCTTGCGTCTGCAACATGGAACTCTGACACACCACTGACCAGGGCCTGGCGGCGGGCGCTTTCTACCATTGCCTCGGAGATGTCGACTGCAACCACTTTGTTTGCCCCTGCTTCAATAAATTTGCGGGAATAGAGGCCCGTCCCACAGCCAAGGTCTAGAATATTCTGGCCTCGAACATTGCCAACGTGAGTCAAAATAGTAGCTTGTTGGAGGATCGCGGTGTGGAGATGGAAACTGCCGTCGTACTTGTCCCCAATTTTGTCGTACTCAGTACCTGTCATGTTGTTGATGAACACAGGGCGAAGCATAAACAAATTTGAATTGTTCTTTGAAACAGATGGCTGCTGCTACTGCTGGCCCTATATATCATAGCTACCCCTACGAAAGCGGCCGCGGCGTGATGGGGAAACCATGGACGCACATGAATAGTTTACGTACAGAAATGCAGGTGATGAAACCGGAAATCGCAAGTGCCACCTTGAAAGGTCGTTGTTGTGAGCTGTTCTGAAGCAGTTCCTTTACTTGCCTTCTTAATTCTCTCACTACAGTGTTGTACGCCCATGACCAACTACCATATTACTGTTTAGCCTGAGACATCCTTAGGTTTCAGTCTTCCTCCAGCAACACTCCCACAAATCATATAATGTACAGAAGCTTAAACCTTTCCTTCTTCCTTTGAAAGTCTGTTCCAATCCAAGTGGTGCATAGCGGTGTGAATCTTGTTCTAGACATCCTCAGCTAAAACATTAATAATGATATCATTGTCTTTTAAGTTTCTCATGGGAGCACCGTCCGCATGCGGTGCTTTTTTATACTAGGGATTGGCCAGTCTATCAATAAGCACAGCATGCGGTAGAAGTTGAGCCTTAAAGCTTAGTAGCTGACTTACGTTGTGGTGACATAATGTGTGAAGCTCAGTTATCTACCTTAGTGTTGTAATAGAATGACTTTATGCATGGTGGATTCAGCTGCTTTTACTAGCTAATGAACTGCTTCATTTGATGGGCTTTTAGAGTTATGACAAATAAGTTATTTGATAAGCCGCATCTACTTTGCTACCCCAGCAGTAGTATAGGGAGCCTTTGCTGTTCATTTCCCATCTCTATCTGAAGGCCCATGAATAGTTGAGGGGAGTGCGACTGAATAGTAACTTGAGCTATAAAGCCCTTACCTACATTACTAGCACCCGTACTAAAAATAATAAGGTTGCTCTTTTAGGAGAGAAAGGCTCTTTACGAATCTATCGCGTTTAATATGTGGCTCAAGTACGGCTGAGCGGACGGGAAGCCGTGATTTTCCACACCCTGTGGCGCATGTGCTTGATGTTCAAGCATAGCAGATGACATTCGGAAAGGTTTGTCCTGGATCACCATACTCTTGTGTGCACAGTGAGTAGTGAGAGAATCTCCCCCGGTGCAGATGCTTACATGCTACCGCCCGACTAGAGGTGCCACGGTATCCTCTAGAATCAATATCTGGCTCCTCTGAAGAACCTATTATTGCAGGCCTGTAGAGCTTAGTACTATAGGAAGGTGTAGGCTTGTGCTTGATGGATGAGTTGTAGTGAACAGTTAACACTCTCAATCATCTTTCCGCAGTGATGGGGGAAAGGGACTTCGACTGTATGAACCGGGGTCAACATACTAGTGGATGCTAGTTTTCTAGCGGCATGCATGCGACCCAGTACGAGCCTTATTACAAGTTCCCAATTCTCCACTTCCATATATAGGGTGGCATTAATATCAACTATGGCTCAGGTATCGGCCACCGCGGCCACCGCGGCCCGCAGGGGCCCATACCAGCATCATATGCACAGAATGAGGCAGTGCCCCCAGTTCAGAGGCAGTGTCAGAGAGATCTCGGTTACATTGTCAACCAAAGAAGTCGCTGCACCATGCTTGGCGGCCAAAATATAACTACTCGCTCATCATGAGTCATCATGACTCGAAATTATTTATCAACCAGTCCAATCCGTCCCTGAAGCAACATAAAAAGCCCCCTCTCGTATGCTCAGATCCAAACCCACGCACACGAGATCCACAGAAACCCAATGGCGCAAGACTCCAACCATGCAATCGTCTTTGGGGCAGCCGGATTACTGGGCTGGTCCGCAGTGAATCAACTTCTCTCTGGCTACCCCACTTCCCGCTCATTTTCCGGAGTCACAGCCGTGCTCAATCGTTCTGTGCCAGAAGCTGACCTACACTGGCCGTCTTCGGGTCCAGATAGACCGCAGCTACAGATTGTCTCGGGAATTGATCTCCTCCGAGGAACGGGAGATGACCTGGCAAAGCAATTAAAGGAGAAAGTCAACGGCGTGGAGCAGATAACCCATGTATTTTACTTTGGTATCTGCCACGCGATATGTGTTTATTGTTTGCCTGTCCCTGACCATCGCCAGTGTTCGCCTCCCTCAATGAGGATCCCATCAAAGAGTGCACACAAAACTGCGGCATGATGCAGAGACTCGCAGACGCCCTCAACATGGTAGCACCGAACCTACAAACCTTTGTCTATTCCGGCGGTACTAGAGTAAGCACATCTGCACCATGTTCAGTTCCTGACCTTGATAACACTTTTCAAGGGCTACGGTATCTATATACCAGGCGGCATATTCCAACCGCCCCTTGTGGAATCTATGGCCGACAACCTCCCAGACGACTACGCCAGGACAGTTGCATACCCGTGGTTTCGAAAAATCCTCACAGAGTCCAGCAAAGGACGCAGTTGGACTTGGACCGAGGTTTGTCCTGACGCCGTCGTTGGCTTTACGCCGAATGGCTCTGCCTTTTCTCTGACTCTCCACTGGGCGCAATATCTTTCTCTATACGCTTACAACCATGGAATTAGACCGAATGATACAGCCAGACCAAAGAGGGATGAGGTGGAAGTACCCTTCCCTGGAAATGAAGCAGGATATCGATCTCTCTTGACGCCGGTCTCTGAGAAGATTCTGGGTCGAATTGCCATCCATGCAGCTCTCAGCCCCGATAAGTGCGGTCAGAAAATCATCAACATGGTGGATAATGACCGTCCCGTGAGCTTTGCCGAATTATGGCCTGCCATCGCCAACTGGTTCGGGCTCAAGGGAGTAGGACCCTTGGAAGCTGGTGACGCTTTGAAGCCGGGAGAATATGTAACCAAGTTCCGTCATCTGTTCACGGAGAATGGGCGACCGAAAGGAGTGACGTGTGGTGTAGGTGCTGGTAGTGCCCAGTTGGACTCTTTAGGATGGTGGTTGTCTTTCGATCGTCATTTGAGCTCGGAGAGGTTGCGGGGGGTAGGGTTTACTGAGCAAAGAGATCCAGTTGAGGGCTGGTTGGACGCATTTGAGAGATTCAGAAAAGCAGGGATTATCCTTTGAGAAAGGGAAAGTACAGTACTATGATTCTCACCCCCGGCTTTTTACTGTCTCAACTCAGCGGCCTTCTGGTCAGCTACCAAGTTCAATCAGCTCGAGGAAAATATGTGCGAACACTTTAATCAGATCGGGAATATCAATGCTCTGGACTCTAGCTTTTGCATGAGTGACGTAAGCTGGAAGATTCCATGCAAACCACGCATTTTGACTTGCATATCTGGCGACTATCACATGTTCTCAGAGATGATTGGATCTTTAAATGCTGACAGCCCTGCCCCAACACGAAGCTGTTTACCCCTCCATTTCTTCAAACCTCAACAATCCACTTGAGATATATGTGACTCCGCATTAACCTTGCCAGGTGAAACTATATTGAGTGCTCTGAGTTTATCAGAATTATGATATGTACGACCTGCAAAAATGACCCTCACATACGATGACTACACGGTCGCATGGATCTGTGCGTTGCCGCTAGAAATGGCTGCTGCAAAAATGATGCTTGACGAGTCCCATCCTCTACTGGTCCAACCGAAAACCGACCATAACGCTTACACACTTGGGAGTATTAGCGGTCACAATGTGGTGATAGCATGTCTGCCGTCCGGCGTATATGGGACGATATCTGCTTCCACTGTGGTGTCCCACTTGGTTTCTACCTACACAAACATCCGCTTTGGACTGATGGTCGGCATTGGGGGTGGAGTTCCCAGCAACAATGCTGACATTCGCCTTGGCGATGTAGTGGTAAGTAAGCCAACGGCAACCTCAGCGGGTGTTATCCAATATGACTATGGCAAAATGTTGCATGATGGACAATTCCAGCCTACTGGGTCACTCAATAAACCGCCGCCGATGTTGTTGAAGGCTATGGCTCAAATGGAAAGCGACTATATGACAGGGAAGAGACTGGTTAGCAGGACCATGATCGATGCACTGCAGAAAAATGAGGAGATGAGAGAACAGTTTTCACGGCCTCAGAATGATTGGCTATTTCAACCAACATACAACCACAAAGAGATTAGATCCAACTGTTCAGAATGTGATCAGTCTCAGCTAGTGAACCGCCCTCCCCGAATATCTAATGACCCTTACATTCACTATGGCTTGATTGCTTCTGGAGATCAAGTGATGAAAGATGCAAGCACTCGGGATTTAATTGCCCAAAATCTGGATATTCTCTGTTTTGAAATGGAGGCTGCTGGACTCATGGATGAGCTCCCTTCACTAGCTATTCGAGGGATCTGTGACTACTGTGATTCCCATAAACAAAAGCAGTGGCAGGGATATGCTGCCCTTGCTGCTGCTGCTTACGCCAAGGCTCTCCTGTTAAAGGTTCCGATTTACCATCGCAAGCAGGAACCACCCAAATCAATAGAACCAGTTTGGGCAGTCCCTTTTGGGAAGAACCCACGATTTATAGGTCGTGAATCTGAAATTACAGAAATTGAGGGTCTTATAATGCAATCGCATGGACCATCCAAAATTGCAATCTGCGGCCTTGGAGGTGTTGGAAAGACGCAAATTGCCCTTGAATTAGCTTACCGCATGCGCGAGCAAGAGTCCAGTTACTCAATTTTCTGGATCCCATGTACAAGCTATGAGAGTGTTGAACAGGCCTACATGACCATCGCACATAAAGTAGGGATCCACAGTGTGAAGCCAGCAGAGGCGAAAGACCGAATAAAGGTTTATCTCAGTCAGGAGAGAGCAGGAAAGTGGCTCMTTATCTTTGATAATGCAGACGATATGGATATGTGGATACAAAGCAGCACCGGTGCCCCAGTACTAACAGATTTACTCCCTCAAAGTGAGCAAGGGCGCATCCTATTCACTACTCGAAATCGAAAGCTTGCTGTGAAATTAGCATCTTCTCATGTGATAAACATTTCCGAGCCAGATACAGAGGCGGCTTTGAAGCTTCTAGGAAAGTTACTAATCAGAAAACAACTCCTTAATGATCGTGATGCAGCCATTGATCTTCTTCATCAGCTGGCACTCCTTCCACTGGCAATTGCCCAGGCAGCAGCATTCATTAATGAAAATAATATTAGGCTCTCTGAATACACTGCACTTCTACAGGAGCAGGAGCCAGATGTGATTGGGCTGCTGAGTGAACACTTTGGGGATGAAGGGCGATATAAAGACAACCAGAATCCAGTGGCTACCACCTGGTTAATCTCCTTTCACCAGATTCAGCGATTGAATCAAACTGCTGCTAATTATCTATCGTTCATGGCCTGTATAAACGCTCAGGATATCCCACAGTCTTTGCTTCCCCCTGCCATGTCTAAAAAGGAGGCAATTGACGCCATTGGCCTCCTCAAGGCATTCTCCTTCATCAGTGAGCAGGCTGGAAACCATTTTCTGAGTCTCCATCGACTGGTCCGCCTTTCAACTCGGAACTGGTTGAGAAAGAATCGACTATTTGGCCAGCAGGTATTGAACACAGCGGACCGATTAAGCGAGATCTTCCCCAGTGATGACTATACTAATCGGAAGCTATGGCGGGAATATCTACCACATGCCCTTTCATTAATTAAAGAAGGTGACTTTCAGAAAAGGCAGGAAAAATACATCGATTTGGTTCAGAAAATTGGGCAGTGCCTGTATAGTGATGGCAGATACACTGAAGCGGCTGTTGTCTTTAAGGACGCCCTGAGAGTGCAAAAAAAGAAGTGTGGTGATATGGATCCTTCAACACTTACCAGCATGGCCTGGCTAGCATCCACATACCGAAACCAAGGGCGATGGAAGGAAGCAGAGGGACTTGGAGTGCTGGTAATGAATACCCGCAAACAAGTGCTTGGCCAAGAGCACCCCTCCACCCTAGACAGCATGGCCAACCTGGCAGCAACATACCGGAACCAAGGACGATGGAAGGAAGCAGAAGCACTAGTAGTGCAGGTGATGAAGATGCGGAAGCGGTTGCTAGGCCCAGATCACCCTTCCAGCCTGAACAGCATGGCCAACCTGGCAGCAATATACCGAAGCCAACGGCGATTGCAGGAAGCGGAAACGCTGGTAGAGCGGGTAATGAATACCCGCAAACAAGTGCTTGGCCAAGAGCACCCCTCCACYCTAGAYAGCATGGCCAACCTGGCAGCAATATACCGGAACCAAGGACGATGGAAGGAAGCGGAAGCACTGACAGAGCAAGTGATGAAGAGGCGCAAGCAGTTGCTGGGCCCACAGCATCCTTCCACTTTGAACAGCATGGCCAACCTTGCCAATACCTGGAAATCCCTAGGAAGGATTAAAAAGGCCATAGCGTTGATGGAAGATTGTGTTGTACTCCGCAATAAAGTATTGGGGCTTGGCCATCCAGATGCCCTATCCTCCTCACGCACACTGGGTAAATGGAAAAGAGAATTGGAGCAATCACAGGCACCTAGTCGAAGGATCAGATAATGAAGACATTGACTTGGCTCGGAGACCCAAGGTTCAACTACGAGCTGTTTAACGGCAATAACTTTAATATACGCTATTGGAACTGGAATTACCGCGGCTGCTGGCACCAGACTTGCCCTCCAATTGTTCCTCGTTAAAGGATTTAGATTGTACTCATTCCAATTACGAGACCCTAAGGAGCCCCATATCAGTACTTGCAAAACATCCTGTCCTTCTAGTTTCCAGACGAGTTTAGCCTGTGCCACGAACTTATGACTTCGATGTTGATTAAGGCGGATCCTGAGTTGTCAACGCCAAATAATACAGAKATCAACTCCAGGCATTTTATAGTAGTATTGGTCTCTCAAAATGCACCTACTCCTGGAAGAAAACACACATTAAGCAAGGATTTTTTTCAAAATCAAGATAATCTCCATGCACTGAATACATTAACCAATATCAGTCAGTCGATCAGGGACGCCCCATGCGCCACTGGCTAGCGGAATGGGACATCTAGCACTGGGTTGATCTCTGCGAGCAGATCCACTAGTGCCGACACCGTGTACTGGTCAGATCCCTGGTTGGGTTCAATCAGCATGCATAACGCGCCTTAGTTGGCAGAGCGGATTTCCGCCTGCTTCCGGTAGCCGCGGTTAGCCATTGCTGCCTGCGCCGCTGACCAAGTGTCAAGGTATAAGATATTGCAAAGGGGCCGCAAGGCTAGCACCAACCCTATAATCTCTGCCACTGGCACGGCGTATCTGCGATCCATGCCCAGGCCTGTAGCAGATGACGTGAAGACCCGGGCTTCTCTGGGGGCTCCGTGAGATTTTGGCTGCTGGATCCAGTGTTAGAATGTGGATGAGGAGTCAGTGCTCGTTCTACCGGGTGGCGTGGGCCGGCTACGAAGCAGGCCGATGTGGGACATTCCCGTCGCAGCGGACTTTTTCGAGGCTTTTGCCATTCCAAGCAGCGGGGGGACGCTGACAGTGAAGCTCATTTCGGTCCCGGTTATACAATTGATGTGATGACAGAGTTGCTTGAGGGAATTTGTGGGAGTTGAAAGACAAATTCTGACGGGGTAGGAAATTAGAATCGGATTTAAAGGTAGATTCAAACCTGCCTGAAGTAATGGAGATGTTATCCTTCAATGCTGTTACATAAAGCGCTTGTTTGCTCAATGACCGTCAGGACTAGCTATGATAAGGAACCGCCTTCCGAAGTAGGTGACTTAAGAGGCTTGTCACATTTTCCATCCAAAGCTGCTCTCTTTGGACATGGTTCTTTGCAAGCATCAAGCTCGCAAACCCACTTCCTCTTCAGGGTCACACAGATTCAACGAGGTTTTTCGATAAAATGGGCGTCAAAAGTGGTCACCTAAGCAGAAAGACAGAACCCAGGAGCAACCAGTGTAAAGCAGAACCTCAGTAGTCCACACTAAGGTTGTAGATCGCCTAAATAGAATCAGGAGTACTCAGTCTAAGCATCTTCTATATCAAACTATTTGGCGCATAGTTAGCACCATTCAATAAAAGATCACATTGCTCATTAATATGCTCTCTTACCATTCACATGTAGCTGCTAGTACAGTGCAGCATTAAGGGACTTCCTTCTACACTATACAATGTGTTTCAACCAGCTTTGTAAATCAATACTGCAAGAAGTTTAGCTACCAGAACAGTATAGAATGTCTAAACATATCTAGACATTTCTTTAGAGCATACTGGACATCTCCCATCAATTGGTGATTCAGACTCGAAATCGCAGCGGTTCGATGCCAACTGGTTTTGAACTCGCCCGAACTCGGACCAAATGCAACTCTAATAATTTTAATAGTAGCGTTAGAGGCATCTAGTAAGCCTTTAAGATATATATGTGGAAGCTGGGCATGATTGGCCATAGGGGTCAATCATAGGAGGTCTTTTGCCTCAGTGGTTGACCTTTTGCAGCCCAGCGCAAGGTTCTCAGAAGTAGTAATTGATATCTTAAGATATATGAAAAAGATACTTAACCCCTATACTACTAATAGGCAGAGCTAAGAAGCCTTATACTATTCCTTGTACTTAAGTATATTTATACTGCAGGGTATAAGACCTATTATTAATTAGTAAATCTAACTTAAATCAAAATTATATAATATACCTTCTTATAAATAATTCCTAATCTTACTTTAGGTATCATTAGTTTAGCTTAGAATATAAGTTTTGTCCTTCTAAATAATAGTAATAATTTAATCTAGTTTAGAAAGATAGAGGTATAATTAGTCTCTACTTTCTCTAGAAAGACTATAGTTTAAAATGCTTTCCCTTCCAGGTACACTCAACATCCTGCCATGTGCTTTTCATAAAATATCCCCATATATTGACTCCTGCGTAAATGTTTCATTGCGGAAGCGACGGCCAGTCCGTATTCGCTCAAATTTGATCTTATAGGAGCTAAAGGTCATGAATAATTGACTATTTGGAAGATTCTGGTCAGAGATATTGCTCCTGGCAATGCCCAATATTTGCAAACTACCGAAAATCCAGCAGCTTTCAAGTACAGATCCTAATAAGAAAAGATAGAATTTTGCTTATCGGGCAATCCCAGTGTCGCCCGTACGTCATCGCTATGGCTCGTGTGGGCCGTGGGGACATATCGTGTCAACCCTAGCGACCCGCGCTGCAGATTCGGGACCATTCCGTCAATTACATCGAGGGTGAGGTTATCGATATTCATCGTATCCTCAGTCCGAATAATCTGCCGTGCCTGGATCGTAGACAAAATTTGCCGTTCATCTGCAGACAAATTGGCATCCAGCTGCTTGCGTGCGTCTTCTGGACCGAGCGGCAGATCGTTGATGGCCGCCAGCTTGTGCATCACTGCATCCTGCTCCTTGGGACTGGCAGTTCCGAATGCCTGGACGCAGAATTCAATAGTTTGCGCAATCTCTACTTGTGTGAGAGACTTGTCCACGTCTACCGTTCCCTGGATGACTGTGGAAATCAGCCTCCCCTGGTACTACGATTCGTAAAATAAGAACGAAGGATATCCACTTACTAGGCCGGAAGAGACCAAATGCACGGGAGAAACTTTCTTCATCCCAGTCGGTCAGGACAGGCTTCTCCTGGTCTGAGATCTGCTTGAGAGCGCTCATCACCACCAGTAAGAATCGGGTGTATCCCTCTGCAACCTTTTTCGAGTGCCATTCTGCGGCCGCTGGCTCAGCACATTCCCCTCTCTGGGCGGCACGGATTGTCAACGCAGCCGACAGTCCGCTTGCGAGAGCAAGGTGCACACCAGATGAGAAGAAGGGATCGATAAAGCAGCCCGCGTCTCCAACAATACGCAGATAGGGACTGGCGTAGCTCGATGCGCTGTAGGACCAGTCCGAAGCGGACTTGACATGGGACACCAGTTCCGCGTCGTTTAGCAGCTGTTGGATACCTGGGGTGTTTTTCACAACGTTTAGATAGAAATCTTGAGTCGTCAATCCGTTCTCACGCTTTTTCATGGTGGCCTTATCTTGGTTCATTACAACCCCGATGGATGTTGTTCCATTGTGTAGGGGGATCAACCACACCCAACCGCTTCCATCTAGCAGTCACGTCAGTTGCATTTAGATCACGTATTAACAAGGGCACATACCCTCAATTGCCTCGAAGTATGGGTCTCCCTCTCGAGGGGTCCCGACTCCATACGAGCCAGCCCCTTTCCAATATCCCCAGCTGGCGACATTCTTGAGACCCTCGTTATAACGCCGGTTCTTCATATACTTAGTGCTAACCAGGCCCGCTCGTCCGGTGGCATCAACCAAATACTCAAATTTGACGGTGCCTGAGGTGCCCGTTCCTTTGGACGCCCAGCTCGCACATACTGGCCTCCCGAGCGCCGAGTCTTTAGCCGCACCAGGGAGGGGCTCAAAATCGATCCCATTCACTTTGACGCCGTCGAAGACCTTTGCACCACTTTCACCGGCATGCTTAAACATAATATGATCGGCTTCGGAACGCACAACGTTCCATGCATGGCTTCCTGGGCCTCCGGCAGCAATGAAGTCGGTATCTAGACGATTAACCAGGGCGTGCGGGTAGAGTTTCTATATCAGTGTACTCACACGCTTCCGGCTTCGAGTTGAGCTTGAAAGCGGCGCCGTTCTTTCCACTTGTCAGTATGTGAGCGGGGTAGATGTGTGAAAGAGCAACAAACCTTTTGAACAAACCCGTGTCTATCGAACTCCGAATCGAGATCGATGAACCGGAGAAAGTGGCGGATAGACGGAAGCATGCTCTCACCAATGTGATATCTAGAACTTGATTTAGCTCTCACAACTAACGGTGCAGTTTGCCGTAGGGCATATCCTACCGAGGAAATACATCTGCCTCGAGCAGGATTGTGTCGACGCCCTCCCGGGCCAACGCTGCGGCGGCATATGACCCAGCAGGGCCGCCTCCAACTACCAGCACTGTGCAACGGTCCGGAATCAACATTTTGTTTTTGCCTTGGAGTCAGTTGTAGTGAGAGAGAGATGACGGATGGAAGTCATCTGGCTGATATATACTGTGAGCCCATTAGGACAGTCTCGGGAACCGATGAAACCACCGGGGCCCGATGCGTCTTGCATCGTCAATCCCGTCCCAAAACGCATTCTGTACATTTTTAATTAGACGATCTCATTTTCGCCTACTATTTATGGTTCATAGTATAGTTTAGGTTCCTTGCATACACTCAGGAGCGAAGCTACATCTCCACCCGATCTCGAATAAAGACCTCAACATTAGGATTTGGCATGATGCGAACCCCTTCCACCACATTGGGTGGCCTCTTGTACTCCGTGTCTGAGTTTTGGTCCTTTGCGAATCGAAAGTCATAGCGCAAGAGCAAAGCTGCCATAAGCACTTTGATCTGATTGCTCGCAAAGTGACGCCCCGGACATGCATGGGTGCCGTATCCCCAGTTCAGCTCCGACGGGCTAGAAGGCGAAAATGAGAGGCAAGTTCCAATAATGAAAAATGTACAGACAACGTACCTGGTGGATGAGAATTGAAACTTCTGCTCGTTGTCACCGATGTCGCGCAGTTTCTCAAATCGATACCCATCAAAGACCAAGGGATCATCCCAGAGCATCTCGTCTGTGTTGGTCAACATAGCTGGTGCGGAGACCGAGGTGCCTGCCGGAACAGTGCTCCCATCAGGCAGTCGAAAAGACGAAAGAGCGAATCGACTCACGCTGACTGACCGGGTTTTGAAAAGAATTAGAGCACAAGTCAATTCTCTATTTTCATCACAAAGCAGACTCACCGAGACCAATTGGATTCAATCGTTGCGACTCTTTGAGGAAGCTGTCGCATTTGCGTAGTTTAGCAAGCGCGGCCGGGGTCCATCGTCCGCCGCAGCATTCTGACACTGTTTGGATCTCCTCGCGCAAGGGCTCAATATATTCTGGATGTACCAGGAGATCATAGAAGAAATGAATGAGCTGTAAATGTTCAGTATCATGAATACAAATTCCGCGAAATAAGACAGGCTGATCTACCTGGAACGCAAGGTTATACGTAGCCGCCTGTACAGCCTCTAGCTGTAGCTGAGTGTGCAGGACCACGTCGTCCTTTTGATTAGGATAGTGATCAATAATCCACTGCATCAGATCGCCATGCTCAACTTCTTGTTCTAGGCGCGACGCCAAAATAGGCTTCACCAACGTCGTTGCTCGTTGGAACTGCCGACTCATCTCTCGCCTTTCGGGAAGGATAAGTCCGCGAAGGGGTCGCAGGCTCCAGTGAGTGTTGGACATCTTAGCGGCGACCGTGACAGTGGAGATTGTGTAACTAAGCGTGAGGTCTATCTGAGAGTCGGGTTAGTTTGCGGAGCATGTCAACGCCGTCAGTCATGTACTAACCCACGCCTGGTCCCTAGAAAGAGGCGGGCTGATGAAAGAGCGGCTGATATGCAGAGACACAAGTTTAACCAGCGTCGGAAACAATGAGAACGATTTCCAATCTGTCCATTCGTTAGCATTGTTGAGTGCGACCATTTTGTGATAGAGATATACGAGGTATCTGGCCCAGTTGCGACGAGACGGCCCACTCGGCTTCCGCTTGAAGCAGCGCCACGCTCTTTACAGCGTTTTTAGTTAAAAAGGTGCGCACAAACTCGGCCAAGTGGTGGCTCTTAGGCATTCTCGTGTATCTACCCATCAGACGTTCGTAAACCTCACGGCCCAAGCTCAAGGTATGTTCCGGCGCGTAGGCAATGGTGGAGAGGTCTTTGAGCGGCACGATCACCGTTGGGATGTCGCGGGTTGGGATCTGAAAGCAAGACTTGGGATACTTTTGACATCAGTTTTGACACACAGAAATTTTACGAGAGAGTATACCMGTTGTGCGCCTTCTTTCAAAGCAGCCATAAAATCAGGCTCATTTGGACTGCCAACGATGGGAATGGGATGCTGTCGCCGACAGAGGAGACGAACGACCAGAGAAATAGCAGCTAGAGTAGCCATATACGGCCAATATAGCGTTTTGATGCGCTCCCCAAATGCCTCCATGGTGTAATAATGCAGTTACTGTCCGTGATCGCAAGAATAGCGAGAGGTAGACCATTTGATAAATCATCGAGTTCGGCGCCTCGGAGACCGAGATCTACTCGATATTGCTAAGGATCTAAGTAGAAAACGTATAAGTAACCCTCGGAATCTCGGGTTGTATGGTATTCTTATCCACAGGTGGTCATTTGCAGTTTGCTCCATAATGCTGTTTCCCGTCGAAACACTGACAGTTGTCTACGTGGTAAGGTCAAAAGCCTCCCTAAGTCTTGCCAAGTTACTGATGGACGCGTCAGTTGGGTGTTTTTGCCCTCTTCAAGACTTTCTACAATCTCTATTTGCATCCATTACGATCCTATCCTGGTCCCTGGTTAGCACGGGCCTCCCGCTGGCACTATTCGTACTATCTCAAGAGAGGTATTCTCCCGCAAAAGACCAAACAATGGCATGATCGCTATGGGCCTTGTGTGCGAATCGCCCCAGATGAGCTGTCGTACAATACGGCGGAGGCGTGGGAAGATATATGCGGTAGGAGATGTATCGATTACTGGAGAATCCAGATTAATGAGTGATCAGGGCATCGGACTGGGGAGCGAACAGAAAGCTTTGAGAAAGATCTGACATTTTTTCCGCCGGCTCCGAACGGAGTAGACTCCATTGTAAGTGTGCTTTTGGATAATAGGTGGCATTTAACTGACCGTTTATAGATTGTCGCTAGAGACGATGGTCAGTCGTCCCTGGCTAAAAAAAAAAAAAAAAAGAAAAAAAAAAGAAAAGCTGACGATATAGCAGCACATCGCCGCTTTCGACGACTGCTCTCCCATCCAATGTCCGATAAGGCGCTCAATAGCCAGCAGGAGATTATTGGGGGCTACGTGGACCAGCTCATACACGAACTGCGCCGTCGTTGTGACGAGCCCGGGGTTGTCGACATGGTCCGCTGGTTCAATTTCACTTCATTTGATATTCTCGGCGACCTGGCGTTTGGCGAGTCATTCGGCTGTCTGGGCAGCGGGGTCATGCATCCGTGGATAGAGTTGATATTTACCTCGATCAAGTCCGTCATGGACATGCAAATCATCAGACGCGTTCCTGGGCTTTTCACCTTGATCCTCACCGTGGCGGGACTACGGCAGAACCAGGACTTACAGGACCAATTCATGTTCTGTCAGAAGAAAGCGCGCGAGCGATGTTCAAAGGAAACCTCTCGTCCCGACTTTAGTTGGTCAACCCATCAGCTTTGAGCAAAGCCTGAGGCTAATTGTGGGTTAGTGACTTATATTCTCCGTGCCACAGAGGAAAAAGGCATGACACAGGAGGAGATTGAGGCCAACGCACAGATCCTTATTATGGCAGGCAGTGAGACCACCGCGTCTGCTCTGTCCGGTACGCTCATGGTAATCGCTCGCGAGTAATAGCACATGCTAAGACAGAGTATTTAGGGACCCTGTATTGCCTCCTAAAAAACCCCAGTGCGTTGCAGAAGCTCCGAGCCGAGATCCATGCCGCATTCCAACATGAATCGCACATCAGCATGCGTGCCCTACAGGGTCTAGAGTACATGAACGCCGTGCTACAGGAGTCGATGCGCGTGTACCCCCCAGTTCCCTGTACATTTCCGCGTACAACACCCCGCGGTGGCGCCATGGTCTGCGGTGGCTTCGTCCCTGCGGGTTATATCGTCGGCGTCAATCAATTGGCAGCCATGACATCGGCGCAAAATTTCGCACGTCCACTTCAGTTTGCGCCGGAGCGTTGGCTGGGCGATGAGCAGTACCAGCACGATATACGCAAGGCGCACCAGCCGTTCTCCTACGGTCCCCGAAACTGTCTCGGGAAGAAGTTAGTTTTCCTTTCCTTCTTTCTCTTGGGCTTTGATGCGTAGATGGACGGGATGCTAATGTGTGCGTGCGTAGCCTGGCGTATGCCGAGATGCGCCTAGTTCTGACACGGCTTCTGTGGAACTTTGACTTGGAGCTGATGCCAGAGTCAAAAGACTGGCATTCTCGGCAGAAGATATGGATGATGTGGGATAAGGGCCCACTGAATGTGCGTATCCGGCCGTTGCAGCCATAAGATGTTGTGATTTCTAGGTTAGAATGCGCTAGGAATGTAGTCTCTATATGCCGGCCTCCGCGATTGCAAAGGAAAAATAAAGTTCATCCATCACTACATATAGCTGGCCAATTTCCTACACCGCAGACGATAGCTTCCTCACCCGCTCATCCAGCTGGGTACAGGGATTCGGTTCGAGGGCGATGGCCTCGMGCAGATTCTCCAGCACCCGCTGACACCTAGAGTTGCATAACCGAACCGCTAAAATCGAATCCAACCCTCACCGAACTCGCAGCGGTGAGGGTTCGGTTCCTAGCCTAGGGAATCGCTTCGGT